GTACATTATTTTTGACAAACATTTAAAACATGGCATCTAAGAGCTGACAAAATATGCACTTCAAATTCTTTTTGTTAACAAGGAAAAAAAACATTAAAATTCACACCACAAAAAATGAAAAGAAAAAAATTAAGTGAATCAGAACAGTCTATGTTTTTACAAAACAACTATTATTTTGTTAACAGTATGGAAACATTTAGCTAGTCAATGAGATGTCCCATGTAAGATTCAGCTTGAAATCCAAACTTCTTACAATGCCATTTGTCAAAACGTCATCAGCTGATGAATCAGGATCCTAAAACAAGAGGACGCGTCTCGTCGCTTTCTCAAACTGCCAGTCACGATTATCTTTTGGGGGACTCGGACTGCTGTTCCTCCGGGTGGCTCTTCTGGTGAGCCTTTAGAGTGCGCTCGCGGCCAAAACTCTTGCCGCAGGTGGGGCAGGCAAAGCGGCCAATGGCATGTGCGCGTGACATGTGTGCCTCCAGCTGCTCGGGCCGGGCAAAGCTCTCGTCACAATCGCCACACGGGTGGGCTTTCCGGACGGTGTGCTTCTCTTTCTTGTGAGTGCGCAGCTGAAGTGAGCTGGGAAAGGAGAGGTCACATTCGGGACATGCGTGCTGCTTGGGCGTCACAGCCTCCACTTTAACTTTGGCTTCCTTTGTTGCTTCATCGCCATCAGCTGCAACACCTTTTTTTTCTTCTGCTTCAGATTTTACAGCTACTGCTGCTTTAGGAGGGCGCCCTCGTTTTGCTCCACCTGCTTTTGGTTTCTCCTCTGCAGGGGCTGCCGGCGTTTCGGGAGTGTCACCTTCATTTGCAGCCTGCCCCTCCTCACAGACCACGGCCTCGTCTTTCTTCTTTCGCTTTCCCCTTTTCTCAGTGCTTGCCACCTCCTCAATCTTGATTTGGCGTCCGCGCTTCTTGGTCGGCGGAGCGCTGCCGTTGCACTGCTGGCCTTCGGGATACTTCTGCTCGTGTTCATTCAGCTCAGACTCACTGTTAAAGCCCTGGCCACACTTCTTGCAATGATGACTTTTTGCGGGCTCCTCCGGATGCTCGGCTGTCTCAACATCGGGGCGAGGGTGATGCGCCAGACGATGCGTACGCAGCATCGCAGCACTCCGGAAGGTTTCGTTGCAATCTTTACATGGCAACTGCTTCTCTGGACATACGTGCCTTCTGTGTGTTGTGAGCTGCCAAAACATGAGAACAGAAAACACACTAATGAAGTATAGTATTGATCCTTTCCTTTTCTCTACCACTTGTTCTCATTTGGGTCACAGGTGAGCTGAAGCGTACCCGAGCTGAATTTGGACAAAGTCAAACACAAGACAGACATATAGAAACACTCGCAATTATTATTCTTTACGGCAATGGAAATTTTTAAGACATGTTTTTTGGAATGTGGGAGGAAGCCAGAGAACTCTGACGAACCCCACGCAAGAACAGGTAGAACATGTAAATTTCACAAGAGAGGGCCAGAACCAGGATTTGAACCCAGAGACCAAGAACTGTGATGCACACGTGCTAACTATTGATGGGTCACTGTACTGTCTAACTACAATTTAAAAAAACAAAACACAAAACAAACATCGAACATCGGTCTCACTTCAGTGAATGTTCTGAAGCTCTCCTTGCAGTGGGCACATTTGAAGGGCTTGTCATCCTTGCTGTGTGTGGGCTGGTGCAGTGTCAGCTCCTCAGATGATAAAAACGTGCGGTCACACACGTAGCATGTAAACAGCGTGTTGCCCTTTGGAGGAATGGCACAGAAGATTAAGATTAGTTTACTAAAATGCAAATTTCTTCGTTGTGAGACAATTAAGGTTTTTCTTATCTTATCTTAAAAGGATGACAACAAGTCGCAATAGTTTCCCATGTCACTTATAGGAAAAATCATCACTTGAGTAATCGAAAAATGTATTCATAGCGCAGCCTAATTGCAAAGTTGGCGACACTTGACTGTAAGATCCTCTCTGTTGACAGCCATGTTGTTCCCGCAAACTGTGTGGGGTTACTACGCAGTACTACGGAAACTGCAAAATAAATAAAACCTGTATCGGGAAGCTCACTTTCTTCAAAGTACTACTGTCTAAATTAGATGAAAGTTTTTACATTTATTAGCCGCCCCGTCCATTTTGGAGAAAATTTAAGACTTTTAAAGTGCGCCCTATGGTCGTGAAAATAGCTTGATGTGCATTGCATCAAGTAAAAGTTTACTACCAATGGCTGACTGCTACCCTGCTTTTGAGGAAATAACTGGCTACTTTATGAGGAAATGTGGGCATCCAAAATAGACAAGCATCATGACTGAAAACAGGCGTTGCAACACATCACTTCAAACAGGTACAGAGAACGGAAAATGGAGCAAGTCAGACTTGCAGCCAATTCGAGAAAACGCACCTGTTGAAGTTGTTGCTTGTACTCTTCCCGGTGGCTCTTCTTCATGTGTCTTTCCTTGGCTTTGGCATTGCAGAAGGTGATGAAGCACTGGAAACACTGCAGATTCTCATGCTGATCTGAAAGGACAACAGAAAAGGCAACAGGTGAGAACCCCAGACAAGCACGTTAAGTGCATTTGAGTCATATCTGTTTTGAAATGGTAGCTAGTTTGTCTCCTGTGGCCAAAGGGTAGGAGACTTTGGATTTTTCCTGCATAGAAAAGAAAAAGGATCCCACTCAGTCGGTGCACCCCTAGTCAGAAACACTGAGATTTGGTCAGGAACATTTGCGTCTCAGCCAAAACATTGAAAACAAAAAAAAAAACAAGCCACCAGAAAGACGTACAAAAACACCAATTTTTCTTTATATTTTTGTTTTCTTTGAATGGTATTGAGTGGCAAATAGACATCTTATTTTAAACACAGTTTTTATTCATCCAACACAATGTCTTGTGATAAAAAAGATCTGTTTTACTCACAGGGTTGAGCAGTTGGAGCAAGAGGTCCATTCAGGGTGATGGGCCGTTTGAACGGCTCCGCCGGTTTTTCCGGGGGGGCTTGTGGGGTTGGATTTGGCAGTCCCCGTCCCATCACAATATCTTCAATATTTAAAATGTCAGAGTCCATCATGGAATATTAAGAAGCCACAGTAAAATCCTGCACAAAATATTGAAGGTCAAATAGTTAGTTGCCCAAATAATTTCAACCAACTCTCACAACATTAACATAAAATTGGTACAAATTGTTGCTTTTTTATGTTTATAGATTCACAATCAACCAGAGCATGGTCATCTTCAATTGTTGAATTGAGAAAACTGGATTATTCATGATGTTTGTTGAATTTGCTTGTTTTATGAAAACAATCAAATTATGTTATTAGGCTATAACGATACAAATCTAAACATCGTTCCATACGGTTCATTAAAAAACATTCGCGAGGTACCTAATATTGAAGATGCAATTAATTAAAGAAAAAATGAGAGATGCCAACACTTACTCTCTACGCATTTACAACGTATTAAACGACGTAAATTTATTGGATTGATTTATTTCCGCCGCTAATCTTTCAATTCACGTCCATTCAGTTTTAGCCTTCCCAGGCCGCTAGCGTCTGTCTCGTTAGCACCATGTAGCAAACACTTTCGAGCGCGACTATCTACACACTGAACGCGTTATTCGTCTCACTCTGAACCACTCTAAAAATTGTAATGTGTACGTATACCCCTAGTGGGTGGTTATGGACAGTAAATACGCGCTAAAATGCAGTAATGACAAAGTAGCGAACCAACGTAATGCTAGGCTACCATACTGTGCTCTGCGAGTTAGCGCTAACAACACAGAATGCCGCTCAAACAGCATCGTACACTTTTCGTGCATTTCATTAAGTTTGGCCCCATGGATGGCGCCAACAAATATATTTGCAAATGATTGCGGCAAAACCGAACCCGAAAAACAAAGTCATTTTCGAAATAATATATTGATGGACAAGTACATTACCTCACTGCGCTGTTTAAATTTAGTTGGACTGACAGAATTGACCCCCCGAGAAGTAAACGCATAGAACCGAGTCGGACGCTTCCTGATGCGAGACCATGGCCGTTGAGGGCAACTAAGATGGCTGCCGTTCCTAACACGAAGTAAACCAAAAAAAACGAACCTCCAAGGCAAACAAATTCAAACTGTACGCGCGCAAGTTTTCAAGTAGTATTTCAAACGTGCACGTGCAATTGGACTCAAGTAAACTGAGAAAAAGAATAAAAATTGCTCGGTTAACTCATACTCGATGAGGATATTTGGTCACGTGACCAAAGTTTGGTGACGAGGTTCATTTGAAAGTCTCATTGGTTGCCTTTATTTAAATCAAATCTTTACACTACACTCACTCCTGAGGATTCTGTATTATTATGTGCATAGTGGCATCATCATCATGGTCTTAGCCACATTTAATTTAAGACATTACAGTTCCATTAATGCATTGAGACTTGAAAATGTGCACAGTTAATCAGATTTTAACTTGAAAAGTTGGCAGTGACCTTCACAACACCTGAATGAGACACTGAGGATGAACATGACAATTGTATGTCCCAAAACAAATATAGTAGACCGCAATCACAATTTGTGGCACGGTGGACGAGCAGTTTGCGCCTCCACCTTAAAATTCTGAGGTTGGCCCATTGAATAAGGCTTCATCCGGCCTTTCTAAGCGGAGTTTGCTTGTTGGCTAATATTTACTGGCTTCAGATTTCAAAACTATGAGGCCTGCAACAAAATTTTGCATTTGGTAATTCATGTTCTCGCATCTCGCATACATTAGCATATTTTAAAACTGATTTTTGAAAAAAATGCAGATGTACTGGCAATTGGTGACCAATTAGAGCAATTGCATTTTGTATTACTTATGAATGAAGTGCTTATGACAAAGAGGTCACGAAAAAAATTACGTTCCTTGAACCACAAAATGTGTACGCAAGTCAAGAACATACAAGTCCATCATTAACCTATGCTAATGCAGCAGGCAATTCCTACTTACTGCAGCACAAAACTTCAAACAACGTGTGCTGTTTTGGATTATTTTATACAAGTATGTTCATGGGAAGTTTTCAGTGAAAACAGAAAAAGAAAGTTTAAATGATTCCAAGGCGTTTTTGCTATGCATTCCCCTATAATACTTTTCTCCAATGCAACTTTATTCAATCAAGACTCCCAATCAAAAAAATAAAATAGAATAAATAATTTTACACATCAACAGTAGACGAAACAATAGTCGCAATTCAGAAACACACACATGAAGTGTTAAATCATTAAAAAAATAACTTGTGACAGGAGACAAAGATATGAACTTGAGACAAAGCTACCTTGTTCGTGGAGGTAAATACAGCCTTAATAGTGTGCAAAATTGGCCAAATTTACACACTCTGAAAGGTCACATAGTTGACAATTTGTTTCATTTTTGTTGTTACTTCATGACAGAAATGTTTCAGAAGCCCAACATGGGTAGTGCATATCATTGTGAAGGAGGGAGGACAAAAACAAGACAACATAGACGTATTTAGTGCTGTTCCAATATACTGGTTAAGGGCATGTAAGGGCCTTTTTCCCAATGAACACCCAGACTTTCCTGATAGTAGCCTCCAACAAGAGATTTATTGCTGGCTGCGACATAAATAATAAAAATGTACCTCAAACAGACACTTCATCCGGGAAAAAAAAGAATCTGGCACTAATAGGTGGCTGTTGTATAGCACCATGTGTCACAGCACAGGTCTTGACCACAACAGGTGGCATCTGCACAGCTGACGTTTTTGATGGATTTCAAAGAGTTGCTGGATGCAACATTGACTTGCAAAGTTTAACAGAAAGTTTCCAGGTAGAACAAACCAGAAAAATCATCGGAAACAATGTGTTAGTGATTCATGCAAGCAGTAATAACAATCGAGGGTAACACATTTTAGAATCATATTGCACTAGTGTTTTAATTACTTATTTTTCGGGGGGGGGGAAATAAAAATGCATCTGTACAAATAAAAGCCTCTTTCCGATTAAACGCCTGGCCTTTATGGGATGGTGGGTATTCAAATCACAGCCACTGTATGAGGAAACATTGTCTATTAACAGTTATAAATAAATAAAAGTAACTTATTTTGGAATTTTTGTAGATAAGCATATTCTACATGGACTGTCACACTGCAAAAGCATTAAAAAAGTAAAAAAACAACAACTGGTGTGACAAAGTGTTTGTTTGTGTTACTGTTCTCATCAATTCATGAATATTTTGACGCGACTAACAGCTTGTGGTGACCTCATTCATGACCAAAATAGGAACATGCAGAAAAGTAAGACTGAAACAAAGATCTGGTGCTAGAGGCTTCCCGAATTTGCCTGATTGTGGAAATTCAAAAAGCAATTGTGGTTGCGCGAGATGCAGAGAAAGACACAGCACTTGAGGCACAGAACTCGGGATGTCCTCTGACAGTCGCCAAAACGACATCTGCCCCCTTCGCCCTCAGCTAACTGCTCTGGCCAGTGGCCTGAACCGTCGTACCGTGTTGCGGCGTCGGGGAGGGGGCTTTCTTCTACTGTGCCGGGGTTAGGTGGGTCAGTTCTAGCATCAGCTTTCGCCGGGGAGGATTGAGGGAGGACAGAGTACTGAGGGTCTGAGCCGCTGGAGTGGATCAAGGCTTTGGCTACTGCCAATCTGAAGTCCATAAAAGATAAAGGTGCTAATGTGGCCATGTGATTGTGTCTGTACAAGAGCCAGGAGTTGACCAAAGCCATATCTGTTAGGTACCAGAGCACAGCGAGAGGCCAACCTGCAGGTGAGGTGGTAACCGGGATGGAGTAAAGATTCAACAAATCTCTGTTGAGGCGCACCGCCGCCTGGGCTTTCTCAAAGTTGCTGATGAGTGAAGCCATGCTTCTGTGACAGTTTCCTGCCGTGGAGAGAATGAAGCCGCTGTGTGACCTGCGCAGCACCAGCTTGCCGTCTGAGCTAACAAACTCATCTCCGATCTGGCCCTGGGCTCCGCCCACCCGGCCTGCACCGTGGATCCCGGCCACTAGGAGGCGCTCCAGCATGGCAGGAGTGGAGAGTTCTTGCTTGCAAAGAAACACATTGCTGCCTTTGGGGATCATTTTCTCAATAGCATCCTCCTTATCGCACAGATCCGCTTTCAGGTCCACATGAAGGAGAAAACCCCCAAATCCAATCAATGTGGTGCTATACAGAGCCAACCTGTTATTGTGCACCTTACCAGTTAAGGGAATTAAATACTGATCCACTGCAAAGTCACCCCGTCTTCTTAGTGTCTGGCAGCCTTTTTGGAAACGGCACAATAACGGCCCAATTTTCCACAAAGGGTCCACGGAGTCATTTGCCAATCCCCTTTGGTCCCTCCTGTTTGCAGGATGATGACAAAAGTCAATACGAGTTCTTTCTCTCGTATTGCTATTGTGAGGATCCTTAGCAGGGGAGGCAAGCTTCAACAAGTGCGACAGTTGAAGGAAGCGGGAAAGCGGCATGGCTTCTGCAATCAAGGGCACCTTCGTCAAGTTGTCCCAGTAGAGCCGCGGGCTGGGAAACTGGAGGCAAGGGGGCGGAAGTCAAACTACATTAGGTCAGTTAAGTCTTGCATCTACAAGTGAAAGCCACACAAACGAGAACTGGATGCACAAACCTTCAAAGTTCCCATTGCAATGTGGATCCCAACAAACTGGGCGATTTCCTTCACGGTGACGCAGTTAGACGTTTGATTGGTGTAGCGGCCCATTTCCACCCAGGTTTCCCAGGCAAAATATCTGGAGAAGTATTCAATGGGCTCGGTGGTCTCTCTAGTTCCTGCTTTGAACACCCTTGAGAAAACAAACAAAAAAAAAACCACTTTTGGAGCATTTTTTCAAGGTTTTTATTTCCTTATATAATTCCTGTCACACAGACTCTACAAGGCTTGAATTGTAATACAGTATAACAATCCAAACAATAGTACACTATTTCCACAAATCGTCTAAATTTCACAATGACCTCTAATATTATTCAATTTGAATATTGTTTGGGGATAATGTGTATCATAGTGAAGTATTTCTCTTTGTAGTAAGGAAAAAGTTGCTCCTTACGTTTGTGTTGTCCCATCTGGTCGTTGTGTGCAGTCGCCCTGGTTCTTGCCCAAATAGGCCAGGACTTCGGCCTCTGCCTCAACATGAGGTTGCGACAACTCGAAAACTCTTGCATCCTCCTCATCAGAAGTCTGGAGAAGTAAACGCCGCATGTCTGGTGGATGCTGACACTCCGCTTCTGCTGAGGGTTCAAAGTTGCTCACGGTTAATGTTTGATTGTGACAAACTGAGACAACGTGAAGGTTAAACTAACTGTCGTTTGGCATGTTAGTGCATCATCTGATTGATTTTTGGTGCAAACAAGCCGGAATCTACAACATTTATTCATACAGTTCCACTTTAGCAAATAATGACATGTGTGCAATAGTCTCCTATCAGTGAAGAAGAGAAAACAAACCTTGTCCATCGGCATAGTCATGAACATCCATCATCTCTGGTCCTCTCAAATCATGGTGGTCCTGCTGAGTGCCTTCGTCTGCGTAAACATTGACAGTTCAAAAGCTCTTCTGTGATCTTAAATCTCGTGCCAACACATCTGAAAACAGCCAAGCACTCACATAAATGACAGCCAGTGGTTGGATGCGGCGTCCGTCTGACATCAACGGATGCGTCTGGGGTTCCACTGTTGGTGTTACCAGCACCCACGGGCAGTTCCCTCTCTTCCGTCTTCACCGGGTAGAAGATGCACTGCTTGCTGCTTGAGTCAGGGGACGCGCGGCAGTCGCTAGACGTCTCCTCAGCGTCTGAGACTGTGAGCAAGCAAATGTCATTTTCGGAACGGACTGACATTTAAATTGCTCAGCATACAAAGTTAAGAGGCTTTGTTGGATTTTTTTTGGAACACATTGCTTTGATAGCATAAAAGTCGAGCCAACGAGCTCTCAAACAGCAACATGGCACATGTAACGTGACTTTTCTTCTTAGTATAAGGACAATTTAAGTGAACACAAGTAGAAATGCCCCCCCGCCCCCCCAGTTGTGCCAAATTATCAAACCGGGTAATGTATATTATTGACCGTAACAAAATATATATTTTTACTTTTGGACTCATAGGTGCACACATACCGTATTGGCCCGAATATAAGACGATTATTTTCTTCTCTTTTCTTTCTTACTGCTATTTTTTATTTTTCTTCTTTGTGCTACCGCTATTTTTATTTTTATCCTTCGTGACAGGGGTTCACCTTGGCCTGGGGAGTCAAGTTCAGCATTCGCTTCAATGGTATCTGGCGCCATCTAGCGTCGTGAATGGGTATAATGTCTAGACCCCGAATATAAGACGACCCCCACTTTTTCAGTCTTATTTCAATGCAAAAAACACCATCTTATATTCGGGCCAATATGGTACCTTTTTCATTTTATTTTTTTAATAAAGGAATGTGTACTTCTAATAAGCATGAATGTTTCATATTGAGGTTGCAAATTGTACAAGTTATATTGGATTTAGGACTGGGAGTGGGCCAAATATGATCTTGAGAAAGTTGAATTAAGTTTATGCTGATTGCACTGCCAATAAAATGTAACTCCGGTTTTAACATGAACCCTACCAAAATGTTGACAAACTCTTCTGGAATGAGCACTTACGTGGGCTGGGAGAGTTTCGGTCAGTGACTTGCTCCACATTCCAACGCCTGTGTCCGTTATGCGGTGTGGACTGGGCGTCATTAAGCGCGATCCTGCTCTCCTGCTTCACCAGAACCGTCCGAATGTCTCGGGTCTGCTGTGGGTGCGTGCCTGCTCCCGATTTGTCGCTCTCTTTAAGACACGAGGGTGCGCCAAGCGGTGGATCTGATGTCCTCTCCTCAACCTTGATCACAGCTTGCATCTCATTTTCAGCGGTGCACTTTAAATCCTTTGGGGGAAAAAAAAACATTCAAAGGATTATAGCCTTGAGTTCATTGAGTGTCGGATTCATTTGTATTCATTTTTGCAAGGTACACATCCCGCAACACGGTGTTACAGCACTTGACCGCTTACCTGTCTTTCATTCATCGTGGAAGTTATCAGGTGAGGCTGTCGGTTAGCCAACCCGGGTTGAGCTCTGACGACCTTCTCAAGATAAATTCCTGGAGATGGCTGACTCTCCCTGTCTGAATTTCTTTGAGACACGCTGGATTCATCCACGATGGAGGGTGGTGGGGAAATAATAGCGGCAGTAGAAGGGCTTCGATGGGGATCAGGTCTGGGTTGAATATCTGCCAAGGAAGTCTGTGCCATTGTCTCATCTTGATCAGTAATTTGGGAATTACACTCAAGCTTTTCATAAATAACCTGACAATCGTCCTGCTCTCCTTCCAGTTCAGTTTCCGTGACGGCACCTGGATCCAAACCTTTCCGATGTACCCCTCCGCGCCTTGTAGCCCCCATCCCCGCTTCCTTTTTCTTCTGGACTAACACCTCCTCTTCCTCATCTTTAACTCCTACTTGTTGCGTGGAACACGACACCGATTGCAAACTTCTCACATCGGTTGCTTGATCATCAGTTGTGTTTTCCGAGCTACTTGCTTCAGAACTAGCAGCTTCACCCGATTCACTTGGGGAAGGGTTATCCCGAGGCAAAGCCGCGCTGTTACTCCCACTGCGCACCCCATCGGGGACGAGGTCCACCCCGAGAACGGCATCCTTCTTGATGTCCTCTTCTATGGAGGCCGGGTGCTCGGATTCTAAACAGAGGTTCTTGGGTATACGTTCTTGCGGTTTGTCAGATTCATTTTGCTTTGTTGGAGTGGTGCTTTCAAAGAGAGGATCCTTATTAGAAGTCTTGCTGTTTTTGATGGGATGGAATGCTTTCGGAGCAGACTGAACATCGCCTTCATCAGCAGGCAAAGATGGAGATGGAATCACGGCAGTAAATGAGACACTCGGTTCCCTGTCCTCCAAGGCCAAATCCGGCTCATGATCCCAACCAGTGCTCGGATTCATCAGTCGAATAACTCTTTCCTGATGGTTCACACCTAATCTGGAGACCCCTTCAAAAATGTTGCCATTTGTGTACGTGAGCTCGGGACTTTCTAAAATATGCACCATCGCCTTGTGCTTCTGAAGGGAGGCAACTTCAGTGAATATCTCTCCGCAGTTTTTACACTCTAATGCTCGCTTGGAATGGGCGGCGGTTATCACCCCTTCGGTCTCCACGTTTGAGGAAGCTTTGCGTTTTCGACCGGTCTTTGGCTTGACAAGTTGGGTTTCGGGCGATTGGTGGGATGTCTTTAGAAAGGAGAGCAATGTGAGAGTCTTTTGGCGCTTTTTGGATTTCCCCTTTTTCTTAGCAACATCGGCGGGATTATTTGCAGTCTTGCTTTTGGGGTTTGCCGGGTTGTCTTCGCTGTGCTGGGATGGGTTATCCCGAGGTGAAATTTCTTGCCCAGATGTTTTGGTAGGGTCCAATTTGTGAACTTTCAGTTGGGGCTGCTTATGACCTTTGAGCAAAAGGAGAGAGTCTTGTGTTACCTGCGTGCCAGGTGACTCTGCCTGGCCTTTGGTTTGGTTGCTTTTGGGGCTCATTGCCTCGTCCTTTTTCTTTCGCCCTTTATTTGTCATCTTTGTGACCTTTGAACTCTTGGAATGACCCTTTGGCGTGATTTTAGACTGGATTTTCTTTTTAACTGCAGGCTTTTGTTTATTTTTATGCGGATCTTTTGCTGCATCTTCTTTTTTCATTTTTTTCTTCGTCATTTTCTGTCTTCCTTGCGAATCGTTGGTTAACGACGACATCCTGACCTCAGCCGAAGATGCCGTGCTCTTTGCTTTTTGACTCTTCGTGGCAATCTTTCCCTTCTTCTTTGATGGCACTTTATTCTGTAACAGATTTGTTGCCCTATCAACCGTGGGTTCTTTTGGGGGGGATTGGCATTGCTGAGAAGGCACTCCTTGTTTTTTGTTTTTCTTCTCTTTCTTTTGCGGGCTCAGGTTAACAAGATGGGACTTTTTGGTTCTTTTGCGTTTCGCGGGTTTGCCATCATTTTGTAAATCTTCATCAAGTATGGACCCGATCAGTTCTTGCATATAACCTTGTATGATCAAGGCCCTGGCTGGCTTTCTTTTGCGTACTTTCACAAGCTCTTGAGCTGACATTACATTCACGGGTAACTCTGAGGTCTGAGCTCCCTGCTTGCTGGATGAATGTGTCGGGCCCTTTTGAACAGAAGTATCCGTGACATTGGACGGACTTTCCACCTGATTCCTGTCCTCCTTTCGATCAACCGGTAATTCTTCACCCTGTGTAGTTTTCTCTCGTGACTCCAGGGGGTTTCCACTATCGGATAATGAGGGCACCGGAACTTGACTGACGTTTTGAATCTGCGATTGAGTCTTCTCCTGCGAGTCATCTCCAGCTTCTCCTAACGCCTGCGCGGCTGCCTGTGGTGAGGCAAAAGTGGAAGCGGCGAGATCTTGTTGAGTCGTTTGCAAAGATGTCAGGTTCTGCTCAACTGCAGGCCCCATCAGTGGAACGGCACTTTGTAGAGATGTCAAGTTCTGCTCAACAATAGGCCCCAACGATGGATCTGGTGAGCCAGCATCATGCTCATTTATGATACTTTGGTAGGGAGTTTTATCCAGTTCAGTGGTTGGCACCAATGAAGGGGGAGTTGGGATTTGCGGCTGTTGTTCATTTTGTGATTGCTGGAGTTCCCCAGGTGGTGTTAGGGCAGGGGTTAGTTCTAGGATGACGGTTTGCTCAAGGTCTTGCTTGAAGTCTGTTCCTTCATGATGGAAAACCAACGGTTTAAACGTATTGGAGTTGGTTGCATTAAGTTCAAGTTGTGGATGAATTTGATGCATCATCTCCCCCTCCGGCTCCAACCTGTGTTCACTTTGAGCAAAACCAAGCACCAGGCTTTCACCTGACACAATATGTGGGCCCAAGTCTGAGAAGGGCGGGTTGATGAACTGTCCATCGGGTGTTATAGGTTCCAGTATGATCGTTTGCTCCATCGGATCACATGAGTTGTTTGAAAAGTCTCCTTCCCCCGTCTTGGACCCCGGCGGTGTAAGTTCCAGAGAATCTGATTGGAGCGGGTTGAGGTTTAAATTGACTGCTTTGGACAGCTCTGAGATCTGCTGAACCTCCAAAGGTGGTGCATGAGGAGGCACTTGACCCAAAATCACCACTTGGTTTACCTTCTGAACATTTCCCAAAGATTCAATAAGCCTTCGTATTGGCTCGGTGTCGATATTGCCGTCGACTTTCTGAAGAGGCCCATTGGGCTCCAACTGTAGCAAAGACGGCTGGGCAACGGATATCGGCGTTATTACTGGAGTAAAGTGATCCGTGTGTGACCTCGCTCGCATGGGTTTACCAAGTGAATTGAGGGACACATTGTGCTTGTTTGTAAGATGACGAAGGCGCGTCTTGGGACTCTTGAAAGTAGCCTTGCAAACAGAGCAGGGATACTTGGGTTTTGAGGCATCTAAAGATAAAAGAAGCAGAAATGCATGACGGCATTTGGTACATTCACGCCATTAAATTCAAAGTACAGTCATCTTTCGCCATATCGTGCTGCCCTTTTTGCAGATTGATTCTATCGCAGACTTTATGTCATCCATTAACCAATTTAATGTCACAGGTTTTTCTCTATTCCGTGGGATTTTGCTGTGAATACTTTCATCACTGACCACAGACCAACATCAAAGTGAGTACTGGGACCCCAAGTGGACAAAAATAATACCTGTGCATGCATCCAGTCATAATGCAATGTAATATATAAGGAATTTACACACACACAAGTGAGCAACAAGTGATTTCTGTACTGTGCATCCTAATACTTTCTCTTACCAAGCTCTTTTTTCCGTTGTGCTTTGGTTTTTGCATCTTCGCCTGCCTGGGCATCTTTGGGCAGGTGGGACTGCCTATGTTTCTGCAATGCATGGGACATGCTAAACCTGCTCCCACACTCCTTGCAAACATACGGTCTCTCCCCAGTGTGGACACGACTGTGGTACTTCAGCAGTGTGATTGTTTTGCATGTTTTGTCACAGTCGGGACAGGTGTAGCCATCCTGCCCAATGTGCACCTTTTTATGAAGCGTGAGCTCGGACAACCTTTTAAAGGCCTGGCCGCACAGAGGACACTTGAAGGGTTTCCTTTCGATGTGGGTTTTCTGATGTGCCATGAGCTCAGTGGAGTTGGTGAAGTGGCTATCGCAATGGTAGCAGGTGAAAAGCGAATTCCTCAAGATGCACTGCTCATACTCGACTGGGTGGCTCAATTTCAGGTGGCGCTGTTTGCTCTTGGAGTCACTGAAGATGATGTGGCACTCGATGCACTGCAGGGAGAGCTCCGATGCTGAAAAATAGCCCAAACTAATTTTAGAACAGAGGTAATTCCGAATAGTAATCGTAGTAATGGCCGAGGTGTAAAAAGAACAGTGTGGTTCTCTCTACTATGGTTTCATTAATGACCTTCAGGATTTTGCATTGAAAATTGTGGATGAATTAAATCAAAAATTCAATCAGACAGGCCATTACGTTTGGATCCAGCCTGCTATCATAATTTAAAGAAGCCCACAAAGCACTGACTGCACAGAAACTGCAGACTATTTTGCATTCACTTATGATTTTTTTTTTGTATCTGGAAAAAAAAAACACATGGATGTGAGGGTTGGAAATCAGATTTTTGCTGAAAACAAATCTGCCATTTCATTTGAAGCCCAAAACAATCTTGCTCAGTGTTAACAAAATGACACAAGGATGTCAAGTAACTCACATGTGAGTGGCATAACCAACGGCTTGGTCATGTCCATCTTCAGAGGATCTACCATGGCTTTCTTGGAGGGGAAACGTCTGTCCTTTTTCTTTGACTTTTGTTCTTCATTCCCGGGATCTTTGTTTGCATCAGGTGTCAACTCTGATGGAGGATTTGTGTTTCGACCTTGATCCGCCGCCATCTCTTCTGTGTTGTCTGAGGGTTCAACAGTCCCTGTAACTTGTTGAAGAGATTCATCTGCAGGTGTTTTATCAATTTGGGTTCCGTTGGTCTCCTCAACGGATACATGCCTTCTTTCTTGTGCACCTGCTTGAATTGGTGCTGCCTCAGTAGAATCGGTGTCATTGTGCGGTGGATCCACAGCAGTTTGGGTGCTCAATGGGTCTGGTCCGCTCTCCAGCTGGGCTGGGCTGAGCATGGCTCCTACGCTGCACGAGTTCACACGTCTCTATGGATCAAGAACACAAATAGGATAACTATTATTGTGTGAATGCTGATGAGCTTCCAAACATTTCCAAATTAAATAAAACACATTTAAATAATATTCCCCCCAAAAAACAAGTAAATGAGACATTCAACATAAATATTTCCCATCTTTCCTTTTCCAAAAATCGAACCCTACATCTCTGCACTGTGAGGCGGACGTGCTAAGGGTTCAAGGAACTGATTTGAGTTCTCACTGTCACCTGTATGGGGCTGGTTTACTCCAGAAACATCCAAACATTTTGATTATTTAAATAAACATTTTAGTTTATTCACGGATTCCCCCTGACGTTTTGGGTGATACCCCCCCCCCCCCCCCACGGTCGTGGTATTACCCGAAAACCGCTAATCCAAGAATCACCCCTGGTAAAGTGGACTTTTATCAACACAAATCGCTGAAGGGTGTGCGCGAACGACTGATGACTTTTGTTCAATACGTTTTTAGTGTACATTAAGTACGATTCTAAGTTTCAGCCCTGAAAATTTTTTGACTTTTCTTCGCACATATATTTAAAAAAGGGGGGACCCTGCAGTTCCGTAAATAAACACCTGCAGCGACTATTTGAAGAAAATCTGAAGAAATTGAAAAAAGTCTGAGTTGGTGCGGCTGGATGGATGGATGCTGAAGTTGAGGATAAGGAGAGGAGCGTCGGTGCAAGTCTGTTATTTTACATTAAAATTATTTGCACCAAATGACCTACTTGTGCGTATCAGCTAGTCTTTATTGTGCACTATCCAGATGGCCACAGGCACGAGAATGGATGGGATAATGCATTTGTATTACAATAGACGGGCGATGGGAGGTGGGAATGCAGCTGTCGGACATATCCAAATGGACTTAAATACATACATTTACTTGCATCAGTTGTGTGCCAAGACGCAAACTGAAGGTGCATAAACACAGTACAGTACACCTTATTTGTGCATATAACGGTAGCAGTGTTAGCATAAATTCAGTGATTTACTGGGATATTACTCCCGCTGCGATTCACTAAAACGCTCAATAATAAAACGCTTTTCGTTTAGAACGATAACTGCATGATAACGAGTGTGCTTGATGATGTAATTTAGTGTTACCTGATCTGAGTTATCCACATAAACATCACAACGTCGTTTCCTCACAAAGCCCACAGAACTGGAGATCCTGAAGCCACAGCCTGCGTGACGTCACGACCGAGGAGCAGCCGCCGAAGAGGGGAGGGGTCTTCTTGTGATTGAGGCGAAGTACTGCCACCTGCTGGAATGGAAGGTGAAGCGAACGACTTGATTCGTTTTAATTTCCCTGGACTGGGCACCAGCCAATCGCAGGGCATCATCTAACCAACCACGCCCACCTTCAGAGTTCTTACAATTGAAATTTTATAATAGTCATGAAACCTTTGTAACGTGTGAGAAAGTCGGAGTATCCCACGGGAGAACATGCAAACTGCAGCCGAGATAGAACAAATCGAATGTTGAGCTTATTAGGCCATATATATTTCTTGCCATCCATTAAGATGAAACATTTGAATTTTTTTTTTTGTTTAGAGTTACATTTAATCTCGCTTCAGTGTGGCTTTTTTATATTTGCCCGATGTGTGAATTTTGCTATTGTACCAATTTTAGCTTCGCTCAGTGGATGAATTAAAATCTATATTGTATGTTTTCTATAATGTGTATCCTGATCTGAGTAACAAGTGAGATGGAGCCAATCACAGGTTGTTTATGAGTTGTCGGTTTTTCCTCAACAGATTTTTAATTTCACTTTCTACTTCAACTTGGAAGTGTAGCACATTTGCTTACTAGTGAAGATTGTGGGTTAAACATCTCAGCTCAGGCCTCCTGAGTGATTTTTTTGTTTTTCAAGTGATTGATTGTGTTTTCTCAGACAGGTGTGGCTTCCACACATTCCAAAAAATGTGACCTTAATTGAAAACCAAATAGTCTGCATGCGTGACTGTAATCAGGAATGTTTTGTGGGATTGACTCGCGGCCAAAGCCAGGAGGGATCGGCGACATCTCCCATGCGACCCTCTTGAGGACAAGTTGTACAGAAAATGTATGGTTATCTACTTTTGTTAGCTAAATGTAGGTCAATTTCACCACTTGACACATTTTTCCTCAACAGGATGACTATGAATGAGAGAAATTTACTGCATAGTTAAGTTAAATAACTTCTTTCATCCAAAACATATTAAAGACAAACAGCACAAATAATTTCTGTCTGCATGAACTTTCACAAAATGACCAATTAAAGATATTAAATATCACATGTAAGGCTATACAATGTGTGTATTTGTAACAATTGACCATGTTATGGTGAATAACGACAAGGAACATCAAACGGTGACGATACAGACATTTATTAAAAATATGCTAAGCCATTCAATCATTCAGTCTGTTCGTTTTTCTCTCCCCCTCTCACGTCATGAAAAGGCAGCGCCCGCCTTTGCTGAAATCTCTCTGGCATAAGAAACAGTCTGACATAAATAAAGGTTCACCCCTCAGTGTCAGGAAACGGCACCTCCCCAACGGCATGTTGAACATAATGCAAATGAAGCTGAGTGATGGCGTCAAAGCCCATACCGCATTCAAAACATTCAAATTCCCAATATTTGGGTTGCTCTCCTTGTTGGTTTTGTTCTGGTTGCTCACCCCTGTCTAGCTCCTGTGCCGTTTGTGCTTCTCCTGCTTTTCTAACTTCCTCAACATCAGGCCAGGTAGATGATTTTGGGGGCTGGTGCACAAGTTCCCCGCGATCTGGCACATCGGACTGAACAAACTCTTGATTCTCTAAGAGATCCCCAGATTTCTCCAAATCTCCAGATTTTTGCAAACTTCCCTCTGTTTCTACACACAATTGTGGTCCTCGCTCCTCTTTGTGATTTGCAAGCAGGTTTCCGCCCTCCATCATGCCTTCATCACCGGACCCGACTACATCCATTTTTGGTCTAGTTGCACCGACGTCGGGCCGCGATGAAGCGTGGCTGCTGCTGAGGTGGTCGCTAAGCAGAGGTGATGTGGAAAAACGCTTGGAACAAATGTAGCACTTGTGCTTGCCCAAGTGGTATCTTTGCAGGTGTCTATTCAGGTAATCCTCTTGTCTGAAACCCTTGGGGCAACTCAGACACCAAAAAGGCCTCGTTTTATGGAACTCATCGTGAACCAACCACGAACTGAGGCTTTCAAAGGTCTTGTTGCACTGATCACATCTGTGCACCTCACGCGACATGTGTGTCAGCAGGTGACCACGGAGACGGGCTTCCCTGTAGAAAGTCATTCCACACATGGGGCAGTTGTACTTATGAGCGCTTTCGCCAATCGGGTTTTTAGCTAAAGAGGGCCTCTTCTTATGTCGCGCTTGGTGCTTTTGAAAAGACAGCAGATAATAATAAGCTTTCCCACATGTCAGGCACCTATACAGTGACTTCATGGGGCGAGCAGTTGGCGATAAACCTGGGCCATCAGGGCCATCTGAACTCGCTTGGTGAGCACTCTCAGATTTCGGAATCCCATCCATGTCAATGTCCTGGTCATCAGTCTTGCACTCCCCTTGAGTGTCCAAGTCATCCAAAGTGGTTGCGGGTCCGCATTCCTGCGCAACTTTCCTCTGCTTGGCTAGAAATAGGGGGAAATTCACGGTTAAAGAAGGTATTTTACAGGCATTTCGGAAAGTGTTTTCAGGAAAGGTGAGAAAAGATGGTCAGTACGCACATTGAGATGCAGCAGATATCTCTTCGTTCACAGATGTTAGATTTGTATTAGTCAGCAGATTTCGAATTATGACGACAAGACATGGTCCTCTTTAGGAGTGTGGGGAGGGGTAATGGCATGGATTATAACAACAACGCCCCCTTAAAACTGTTCAGCAATTTGCTACGTCCTGAAGCACTGATCCACAAAGCCAATGTATAACAGTTGCGCACTTAGTGGTGATTTGAATGATGGTCTTTTCATTTCTTTGGTCCGTCAACTAAATGCATTTTCTTTTAACCATGTCTTGTTTTCAACCTTTGACTGCTATGATACTTGCCACTCATTGGTGAAGTCTGGCGAGATATATTTTCTGGCTTTAAAATTATATCATTGGCTAAATATTGTGCTCTCCCCACCCTAGCATTATATCACAAAAGCTATCAACAAAACAATGTTTCTAACAATAAGGTCAACTCAGAGAACTTATCATCATGACTTCAAAACCGAAAGGGAAAAAAAAAATTGGCACATTGAAATACGACAAACAAAATTTTTCCGCACTTTGATTAATACGCAGGAGACAATGAAGCCAATGAATCAAATAAGCAAATATTCTAAAAGACGACTTTGTGACTGACTTTACTCGGCAAGTTGAAAGAATTGTTCTTTTTATATACAGTGGTACCTCTACTTACGAACGTCTCTTCATATGAAATTTTCAAGTTATGAAACGTATCAACAGGAAAATATTGCCTCTTGTTACAAAAGAAAATTCAAGATACAAAAGGTAAAAATACAGTATGGCCTGCTACTCGCAGAGCCGAGTTTCCTGAACGCAACATACTTCCTCTTCCATTTGCTATTACCCAGCATCATTCTGGTATCCCATTGGCTAAGAGGGACCTCTACCAAACGTGTCTGTGTGTGTAGACAGATAGATATGAAAACTACTTTTGAGAGAGAACATTGACTAAATAGGGCAAAAAACGATGAGGACGCAGTTTAAAGTTAAATGACAATTTTTATTCTTTACTCGGACTAAAGAGGGCAAAAAACGATGAGGATGCAGTTTAAAGTTAAATTACCATTTTTATTCTTTATTGTTTTTTTACATTATGCACAACTCTCGTTTATTGCGCAATAATCTAATTGTAACATGTATTTGTTAAATATCTTGATGCATTTTATGCTTTAGGAAACGTGTATGTCCGAATTTTGAAATAATCTAATTGTAACATGTATTTGTTAAATATCTGGATGCATTTTTATGCTTTCGGAAACATGTATGTCCGAATTTTGAGGGGGCTTGGAACGAATTAGGGCATTTACATGGAAAACACGTCTCTACTTACAAAATTTTCTAGTTAAGAAAATTCTTCCAGAATCAAGTAATTTCGTAAGTAGAGGTACCACTGTACATCACACAGATTTTGTGCGAACTGGTGTGAAGTCATTACACAAGCCACTAATTCAGACTATAATAGATCCCTTTATTATAGGTTCCAAAACAGCATGTAAACATGTAGGCAAAGGCATGTTAGTCACTTTATGGGGAGAAACAAATAGTTGAATTCATATTTACTGCACAAATCTTCCCCCAAAGTAGGCAAAGGCATGTTAGTCACTTTATGGGGAGAAAAAAAATAGCTGAATTCATATTTACTGCACAAATCTTCCCCCCAAAATAAGCGGTTTAAGTAACTAAGAACCATCCCAAATGAATAGAAGTACCACATTTTAATTTTAATCAATAAATAGCTTTGTCACAATATGGAAATAAACAATGGAAACAAAAGGGGTGGGGCTTAGTAGTCAATTCATGCAGAACAATATGTACATGCCGTAATGTACATTAGACTGGCGGCTGCCTAAAGTCAGCTGGGATAGGCTTCACACGCCCGCGACCCTCGTGAGGAAAAGTGGATTAGAAAATGGATGGATGTATATTAGCGCACCCTGTCAGGCTTTTTTTTTTTTTTTTTTTTTGAATGAACAAGGCAGTCCATTGGGTTTGCTCGGCCATTGCTATTTGAGACGTTTCAATATTTTAAATGACAGCAGCAATTTCCCTCCCCCAGTTTTAAATATAAAGGCTTGTGACATGCATTCATGTATTGTAAGTATATATTTTGATGCACTTATTAGCTCACTTTTTTTTTTTTAATGAATTGCTCGGCCATTGTTATTTGAGACAACGATTCAATATTTTAAATGACAGCAGCAATTTTCCTCCCCCAATTTTAAATAGAAAGGCTTGTGACATGCGTTCATGTACTGCAAGTATATATTTTGATCCAATTATAAGCTCTAATTTCTCAATTTAGAACCGCATAAATGCTTCCATGACACCCAAATGTTGAGTATGTGAAAAAGTATTCAAAGGGTTACGCAAGGCGGGGTTGTTAATTTATACAACTCTAATCCAGTGTGAAGGAAAGCCTGGGATGGGGAAAATTGACAGATAATTAATTTAATATAGTGACATATAATGGATCGCCTCATCCAAATGTTCAAGTCTCGTAAGCTTTACATGTAAACAAAGATTTTAATACATGCTTTGTGCATGCTTGGTGTAATGCTGGTGCAAATCAGTTTCTTGACTAAAAGTAGCTCCACATTCAAGGCAAGTAAGGACATCAGCGGCAGGGCTGTCACTTTGCCATCTGGAATCGCCAGTAGCTGCGCGGTCGTGTTTCGAAAGGGCGCGTAAGTCATCCACCGTCACAGAAGCGCGAGGGCAATCACACGCAGCAGTTTGACAATGCAAACATTTATGGTTTGAGAATTTGGATGACGAAAGAAAGGCTTTGTCGCCATGAAGGTTACTAATGACCGACTGGCTCTCTTGCTTCACGGCCTGTTGTTTTGGCTCGTGAGGGGGAAAGGACTTCCCTGTGGCTCTGACAGACTTTGTGTTCAAAGCAGCACTGAGACGTAAGCGAACCTCGTTCGGTAGCCGAAATCGGACCTCATCGTGCCAGGCGAGGTGTTGCTGCAGTTGGCTCTCGGTTAAAAAGGCATTGCAGCACAGGGCGCAGCAAAAAGGCCGGCTTTTTGCCTTGGTCTTGTGAGTTTCTAACTGTCCCTCGGTCGGGAATGCTTTGCCGCACTTCCCGCACTTGAAGAGACATTTGACGATTGGTTCTGAGAGGCGGCTGATAAGCGGTGACGCCTCACCTAAGGGATCAGGAGCTTGGACCACCAGTTTAGACCCTAGGCATAATTTATGGTCAGGAATTATAGCAGCAGCTTCACACTGAAGTCCACACTCAAGGTTTGGGACACTCCAAGGAGAAGCATCAATTTTGCTGAAAGGGTCTTTGCTTATTTCTGTTGCAACATTTTCACACTTGATTTCACAGCTTGTGGCTACACTTGGGATCTGAGCGTCTAACTCGCTCTTCGGTTTGGCTTGTCTGCTCTTGGAGTGTGCTTGCCACGTGTGGGCGCGAAGGCCCCTGACTTTGGAAAAGCTTGCCAAGCAGAGGGGACACTGGTAATTTCGTGCAGTCGGTATTGTCGAGATGGATTCACACTCGTTCATGACCCGGTTTATCGCACTGAGCGAGGAGTCACCTGTCTGAGTATCTCGAGCTTCTAAAGTGTTGCTATGCTCATCGGAAAAAGGGCCTCGCACACATGTTTGGTGACCTTCTGAGGTCTCGCTCTTGGGTCTCATGTCAGGTTGAAGCTGCAGTGTGGACGATTGGCAGTCCTGCTGCAGACAGCGGTCGGGAAGCTGCTCTTTAAGAGAGGAAAGTTTGTCATTTGTATGCCATCGTTTATGAGAGCCAAGGGCAGAGTTAGACAAAAATCGCTTCCCACATTCTGAGCAGGGAAATTGGTCATCTTTCCTTAACTCTTCCTCGCTCGTCAATAAGTACAAGGTCGCTTTTGCTCCTTTTTTGGAGTAACCCTTGGCGTGAATTCTTTTATGCAAGTTCAAAGCCCCAACAACTGAAAAGCTTCTTTCACACTTGTTACACTTGTATCTCAAATCGCTGGTGTTTTCGAAGCCGCATACGGTATTTGGACTTTCCATGTCCACCGCCTCCATTTCCTTCTTAAAGTTATGCGGCACCTGCACCGCACTTTCTTCAGAGTTCACCGACTCATTATTATTGAGGTTTTTGGTGTGACACTCCATTATGTGTTGCTTTTTTTTAACGCAGAGCTTTCTGTGCGCCCGCAAGGAGACCTTGTTGCTTAAATGTTTGAGGCAGGTGGCACACTGAAAGTCTTCTTGCCTAACGCAAGACCTCGGCGGTGATGGCGACTGCCCACTCTCATTTCCATGATACCTCATGTGGAACTGAAGTGCTTTGGCCCGAGAGAACAGCTTCCCGCAGTCGGGGCAGCTATATGTATTCTTTTGCAGCTGCTCGACCTGATGCTGAAAAGACTTACTCGGTGGCGGGAGGAGCTCACTATGCACAACCTGATGCCTGAGAAGACTGGAAAAAAGACGGAACGTTCTGTTGCAGACTTCGCATTGATGATTCCCATTTTCATGTGTACGCATGTGCAGCGTCATAATTCCCTTGTGTCGGAACTTTCTACCGCACACAGGACACGCGACTTTCATGCTCGAGCGAGGACGCCCACGGTGCAGTGGCTGTGTAACGCCGGTTCGAAGCCTCACATCAACACATAGACTCGGACTTTGCTTATGATGCGAGTAAGCTCCTAAAGACCAAAAACCTTTCCCACACTGCTCGCAGTGGTAAATCTTGGGGCCGAGAAGAGTTTTTTTTGGATTGTACACTTTTGCGCTGGGCGAGATACTTTCTGTGCTCTTTGTGGCGCGGGTGCGCTTGTGGTTTAACAAGCTAGACGTCTCACAATCTCGGCAAAGTAGTCGTTCATCGTGTTCGTCGGACAAATGTGAAAGCTTTGTACCGCACGTGTCACATGTCACAGTTTTCTGTTCAAATAGACCCGCCTGCTTTAATTCATGGTTAGTTTCGTGTTTATATTCTGGAGTAGCACCTGCTGCAAAGTTATGGGCTTCATTGTCACATGTGTAAACTTCCACTGACTGACCTTTAGTCTGAAGGCTCTTCTTATGAATGTTGTGCCACCCTAAGTGAGCCCGCAGTGACGCCTCGCTAAAAAAGCACCGGTAACATTCTGGACAATCAAACTGTTCTTTGGTTTCGTTGTTTTCAGCTGCTGGAGGGCTCTGTTCCTTGGCAGGGTCGAAGTCAACCTGAACAATTTTCAAGTCAAGCTCTGGTTTTGAAACCAGATGACTGACTGAATTATTGCCATGGCCCTCCTGGTCGGATCCGGAATCGAAGTTAGGGCTCAAGTCTTGCACTGCCTCGTCGTCCGATTCACTTGCGCTTATCACCATGACATTAAAGTCCCCGGGTTCATAACTCTCCATCACATCATCTCCGGGCTCATTAACATCAGGGTGATCTTCAGACTCAATGTCAAGAACGTCCTCTGCTAAGACGTGATGTCTCAACTGCCGTGTCACTTTCAGCTCTCCTTCCAAGGTCTCCTGGTGATGGAGCAGAGGCGAATGTTCCTGGACCGATTTCTCCGTTTCCGTAAAAGAACTTGTGTGGTGAAGCTGATGAGATTGAAGCGCTGACAGCCTGGAGAACCTGAGGCCGCAGTCTATACATTCAAATGCTTTCTTCTGCAGCTGGTCCACTTGATGGAGAAATGACTTTGCTGGAGTCTCGCCACTGTGCACCATGCGCTGATGTCTGTAGTAAAACGTTTGAGTCATGAACACTTTCCCGCAGGCCTCACATGGAAATCGGTTTGGAGAATCTTTCGAATGGTTTTCATGCCATTTCTCATGGTTGAACCAAGCAAGATGGCCATGGAATGCTTTCTGGCATTCCCGACAGTAAAAGACATTTTTCCTCAGCTTTTCTGTCCTTTCTTTTGGAAAGCAATCGATATTGTGGCTGAATCGCTGGTGTGTCTTCAAATGCATCAAAGCAGGAAAAGATTTCCCACAAGCACATTGGAAAAGCTTCTCGGAAGTACCACTAGGTTCCTTTTTACTGAGCTTGGCCGCAGGCTGCTCATCAGTATCTGTCCTGTGACCTGAAGTCCTGTATTGGCGTTTAAATAACTTCTCTTCATGACAACGTCGGTGGGCATCAAGGGCAGATGCACGAGAATAATTTCGTCCGCAAGTCTCACATTGAAAGGACTTTTTCTGTAACTGCTCCAAGTCATTAAATAAAGATTTGGAAGCCTCTATATGGGTACGCTGATGATTGAGAAAGTGCCCTAACATGGAATATCTTTTCCCACATTCAGAGCATTCAAAAAAGTTCTGCTTTGGGGACCCAGAAATCTGCTGGGTGTCAGAACTTTGAACGCGGTGGGTTTCCATGTGGGAACGGAATTCACTCATATCAGCAAATGACAATGTGCATAATTGACAGGAGCTAGTACTTTCCTCGTCTTTCTCAGCCATATCTGAATCGTCCATTGGCTCCAAATACATTGCGCACTTTCCATTGGGGTGCTGGATGCGATGGTCCAAGAGGGTTGCCTCCTCACCAAAGGCTTCTCCGCAATCTTGGCAGCAGTATAGCCCAAATTCTAGAGAGAGAGGTTGGAGAAAAGAGGACTTACCATTAGGGGTGTGCATCTCTCCAATAAAAGTCGATTTAATATGTGCCTCAGTACATGGGCAAGATACGATTCCAAGACGCTTCGATTTTTAAAGTGGAACGATTCGATTTGCTTCCAGTCAGTGGGATTCCCACTTATATATGTCTTGACGAGGAACAGTTTACATTAATTGGTGTTGGGTGGTGGTGTAACACTTTTTGAAGTGCAAAGATAGAATTTTAATGGCCGCTCATAATTTTGTTTAAAATTCGTATCGTTAAAATTATAACAACACATACCATATCTACACACAAAGCTGTATTGAAACAAGACAATATGACTTTTGTAAATACATTAAAAATAATAGGCAAAGTTGTTGTTAGCAAGTTGGCTTAGTCTTCAGCAAGCATTCAGTTCCTCACGTGACCTCTTTGCAAGTGTCATTGCCCAGCCCTGCCCTAAGTGCAGAATAAGAATGTATAAATATATATTTTTTAATATTTGCTTGCGACACCTGATATTTCTTGTGGTGAAGTTAAAAATACGGTAAAAAATAGAGCTAAAACATCCGTGCTGCACAAGAAGCTTTATTTGTCATTGACCCACTATGTTCATCCACCCGTCCCTCCATCCGTCCATCCATCCAATTTGACTATGACTGACACAGATAAAGGCAAGTGGGCAAGTGGCTTGGCACACAAGGGAAGGAAAGGGAGACCATAATAGCTTTACAGAGTTGGACATTAACAATGGCCCGGGGCGACTTCGCCAGTGTGTCGGGCCACGAGCCTCCTTACTATGCTGGACCAACCTGAGCAGGATAAATTTCTAAATGATGGCTGCTGAAAATGGCCCCAAAGTCAATTTTTTTTGGTTTCCGGCCAAAAGACTATCTCTGAATCAACCAGAAACAGGATGTTGTGACAAACTAGAAAAAAAATCCCATGAACGGCAAATGCTTGACTGAATAAAGGGGCATGAAATGGGGTTAGCCTCATGTCGCTAACTTTAATAGTATCATACCAGCCGCAGGACGACCACAGAAGAGAACACAAGGGCAAAGTTTTAAAATGATGCTTGGTCGTCAGGTTATGATGTCCAGTAATACGCGGATAATGGTTCTATGCTAAGAGTGCTACATTTTATTTAAGTGCTATATATGGGGGTGAGGGGATGGGGCTTGTCCGTCTCTTTTAAAAATTGCTCCAAAAAAATAAATAAATCACCCATTTCAAAACAGCTAATATCAGATCATTAAACCATCTGGACAATTACTCGGCCGGGCCCTAGTACTGAATGCCGCAAGATTCAGACGTGCATTCACCCAAGTTCCCAACCCTTCACAATTGGAAAAATGCAATGCGATTTTTTTTTAAATTCAAAACAAAGGTACTTAATATATCAGTGCACAAAATAAACCATGCATCAGTGGCAAACGAAATCATGTTCAAATAACAAAACCAACAAATCATGACTTTCACTAAGTGCCTATTTATTGCAAAGTAACGGAACTTTTGATGTTGCCTAGGGAGCAAAATTCAGGAGTGCTCAACTTCCCCTTCGCAAATGCCACAACCACAAGGCTGTGAAGGACATTACCTTATAAATGTTGTTGATTCAGTAACAGAAAGAAACTATTCATGGTCTCAGTATTATCAAGAGGAAGCTGTATTAGCCATTACATATTGTTCATTAAGTCGCTGTACAATTATTGTGTTTTTTTGTTTGTGCTTACAGAGGAGGGTAATGTGTTAAATATATAATGGGTTCAGAAAATCACAGTGCAAATATATTTAAAGTACCAGTAATAGAAATGTTTCAGAAGAGAATGCACGTGGAAGGAGTAAGATGCCAAAATAGAGGCGGGACTGATTCTAAACATTCATATTTGACAACTCTCTTCCTCCATATAGCTGTCGACTGATTGGCTTTGGAGTTGGGGGTTCAGTCGCCCCAAGTCTAGGTGTGTGAGTATCCCTCACTGAATGGTTACTCAATGGACGACAGTCATGATTGCACACTTTGAGTGAAAGTAAAACAGCTGTTTTCTATCTCCCCTGCGTTTGTGTTTTTCACCTTCCCACTATAAACCACGAACAAGGAGGGTAGTTAGTTTTGGGCATATTTCTGACATGATTTTCTATGCTTCTGTCACTGGGTTGACTTACAAACACATTTTTGCGTTGATAGTTTACCATGTCCCTTGTGATGTTACCGCGGATATGGCTCATATTTTTCACAGCTTCCCACACTAAATTGATGAGTTTTTTTCAACTACAAATGCCTCCTCACTGATATATCATCCTTACAATGTGTATTGAAAAAACTACAAATGACCTTAACAATGTCACATGACAGGAATTGATGTACTCATCATCCTTTTTGAAACAGATTCAGTTACTGGATAGGTCATTGTTTTCTGAAGTAAAAGCAGATGTTTGCAAATGTTTTATATTGATTGAACACAAAAGACAATCAGGCTGTTTTCCATAGAACTTTGGAAAACAGGATAATTACTGTTAGGCAGCTGACAATAGAGGATTTCGATAATGTCAAGTAAAATAATGACTAAATGTTTACTCTTGACTTACTCAAAATCAAATCTGAATAGTTGCCAATTAATTTCATGATCTATTAGTTCTTTAATAATAAATGAATTTTGACACCTTGAAACTGGAATTAATTGATTACATATAATTTCATCAAAGGTTTGTTACTGTGTTCATCACGCTTCTCAATCATAGCAATCTTTTAGAAATAGGATTAACAACGTTATAGAAACTTGAAACTCGGATTCTACAAAAAATATAAAACAAATATATATATGTTGGTCCAGGCATTTAATCACGGGTACTTATTTTTTCGTCCACTCCCAAGTGTAAAGGGTAAAGGAGGGTCGGAAAATGGCTGGCACTGAATTAATAGTATTATAATTTTAATGTGTCACAGGAAAATGATACTTGCGAGAACCACCTTCAAGACATCCGATAATGCTCGTGTCATGTAAATCAATTACTATTTGAATTTTAGGCACATACCTACCAAGTTGAAGAATATGAATGGGGATCACGGTACAAAACATTGTTTTTGTTTTAGACTTCTGGTTTATTTGACCGATAACGAGGTTTCTACCTTGAGAAGAGGTTGGGCGATCACTGTCCGCGATGTCCTCAGACGACGGCGCATCGCTTTTTGCCGAGCTGACATCTACGGCGGTGGACGGTGCGACATCTATGCTGGACTGTTCCTCCGTCTGGACGTCTTCCGACACAACAGCCGGAACTTGGTCCATCGTTTGCTTTGTTAGCGCTAGCTTGCTTTGATGGCGCTAGTTAGCAGAACGGCGAGAGCACAAACCGTTACGCAGCGGTAAAAACATAAAATAAAGTGGGTACAAGGCTATGCATGTTTGATGAATTCTTTGCACAAACAAAGCACAGATTGTTAGAGCTGTTTTTGCCCAAGCCCGGTCAAAAAAAGCGAACGGACAAATATGAACGAACTCGTGCAATGAACTGAGGTTTCATCCGTCTCCGGAAGTTAATTCTTCTTCGTCGGTGTTGATGACCGCAAGGACGCTCGGGATTGATTGGCCTCCGCCTTCTAAGGCGACACTTTTGTAAAAACCCCAGCTGTACAATTTATCCAGTTGTATCCGTGTGTAATGCTACCACTAACTAGTGAAGATTTTTAAAAAATTGAGTAATTGCAATGTCGCTCATAGATAAATTAGAAAAGAGAATTGCTACGATGGTGATCTACATAAGACCAGACTTGAATGCTGTTAAATCGCTACAAATTAATTACAAAAGCAATTGCAGAGACCACATTTGCACGACAGTGGACCGGGACTGGCCGCAAAGAGCGCCTGTAACTGGCGCCCATTTAAACGCATTGGGGGAAAATAATTTTGAAAGCCAAAGAATTCTTCCAAAACCGCTGATGGTCCGCAATATGCGTTTTCCACAACAAATGGCGTTTAAATTCCCCTATAAAAAGTGCCCCCGACCACCAATTGTGGGTGTCAAACCGCGAATATTATTGTATGTACATACCGAGTAGTTGTCAAGGTTTTTAATCACAGTTTTCTTCTGTTCCCAATAATGGCTCATTCTCAAGAGATTATTGGACGATGGATGGCTAACTAGGTTGACAGGTTTTTTTTTTTCTTTTTAATCATGGGTCGTTGGATGTGAACAACGGGCAGTTTACATTTGACAGTTTAACAGTTTATTTTGTTACATTATACACGACAGCAAGGATGAATATTTCACCTTGCTCAAATGATTGGACAGAAAATGTAGTTCTGCAGTTAGTTTGACTGCTTGTGTTTGAGGGCTTATTTGCACCAATTAATCAAAATATTGTTTGAAAGAACATTGATTTTATTATGGATGGAAATGTACACATTTTACCAAATTTTCTAATGACAACTTTTTATGAAGTGAGAACCCAGATGCAAGTACAAGTATGGTGGAGAGAAAAAGTATTCAAATGCCCGGATATAGGTATCGGTCATTTGAGAATTGGAAGACATTTTACATCCCAGCAATCAAATTCTAAATAATCCACATACAAAATACTTAAACACGTAGTTTCGAAGTAAATGTATGTATCCTGAGACCAAATCTAAAAAATACTTAAGAGACAAGAATTCTTGAAAATTGTTTTTCAAATACCAAAGAAGTCTGGAGTACCCCTAAAATGCCATTGGCTCTTGTCCCCCGTGACGAAATTGAATCGAAAACAGTTAAAATAATATTTTTTATTTTTTTATTTAATACTCCCGGTAGTTGTTTCATAGCTGCCTCTTGTAACTGCAGGAACATGTTTTAATAAACATACTTTAAATAATTATTTGTCATGGAACGTGTGTCCCACCACATGCATGCAACCCTGTTTTAGTATGACAGAAGAAGAAAGCAGTCAGTCACATGATACAGTGGACTTGACATCAACAGTTTTCCAAGAGAATGGGTAGAGCTAAGGTATGACCTCTCTTCTATTTTCATAATTTTATAACATAGGTAGACTTGATTGAATGTCTCACTGTACCTCATTCAACCCTGTTATGCCTGATCACAATAAGACAATTCTTTTTACATTATTTCCTTTGCCTACAGGTAAGTTTGTTCCCTGTAGTTGTCAGTAGCAGCTAGCTAAAAAAAGGCGAGCTTCTACTCCCAAGACAAATCTAACGTTTGTCCGGATTTGCAAACCCTGTTACTGTGATTACAGTGACAGATGTTAATGTTAAGATCAAATAAATAATTTAATGAAAATTGTACCACTGATCGAAGATGATCTGATCAAGCCTTGGATAGTTTTTCACCTATTATTGATGAATATGTAGCAGAAAATCAGAAACATGAAGATATATTTTTGAAGAATTCTAAAGCTAGAAAGCCAAAATGTCCTCCAATTCCGGAAATGACCCACATCTATATAAAATCAAATTAAGAGTGCAGCTGCACACCCACATGTGCTGTGTTCATAAACCAGTCACATTAAAACCAATATTAAATAGGAGACAGCACATTACCTTCCACCATTTGAAGTGCTTCTGATAACCCAAAATAAAGTTTGGATATTCTCTTCGAGAATTCTGAATAGTTCCAAATACCAGTGAGCGTTGGCACAAAACCTTTTGGTCTTCTGCCATAAAGCAAAAATGAAAATGTCAGGGAAAACCTACTAGACCACATTATCTCAGTTGTCTATTTTTTCCCCCCCTTAAAATGTTTTTTCTTGGTAGAAACAGTTTTGAAACGATTGGTCTTGGTCTTTTTTTTTTTGCATCACAAAAACCTGGCATTTAAACAGGAGTGTGTAGACTTTTCATATCCACTGTATTCCAGTATTTCCATAAACAGTAATTCAGCGTAAATGGAGGACAGTTCTGTGTACCCACTGAGTAGTGAATTGCTCCGTCTACTTTACTAACAAACTAGGCCTACAATACCGGCATAGCAGACATGCAGACTTACTCATAAAAGGCACACTGTATACTGTACATGAAATACACCTCTGAAATGGTTCAAGACAGGACCAAAAATGTACGAATTAAAACATTTTAAAATGCAAACATTATCGGCAGTAAATGAAATGGTCAATTGGTCCACACCCTTGAGAAGTACGCACATATTAAAAGCATTTTTAAGAAGAAAACAACTACTGTTTCTAACCACAACAATAGTCTCAGCAGTCTTATTTAGAGTGAATTAGTACAATTAAAAAAGTGTGCAGCAGAACTAACTCAGTTTTTTTTTTTTTGGCTTCTAATGCCCAACCAAGTCAGCTGGTCAAAATCCACAAGTGAGCGCCAGAGAAATGGGGCTCAACAGAATAAAAAAAGTAACAAATTAATAAATCAAGCTTTGCTGCTACTGTTACAATGTTAAGCTCCTCCTTGTGCATGTTGCAAGTAATGCAACTGAAGATCCAGCTCCCGGGGGAAAGAACAGCCGCAAATCATGCACTGCAAAAGTCGATCTGGGGCAAAAGGCAAACGGGCTCCGAGTTTGTGAGCTTCGGTCCGCGCGGCAAGCTGAGGTAGGGCCGGAGTCTGTGGCAAGGGGGGCCTCTCAGTCAGGACAGCCTGAGGGGTGAAGAAAATATTTGGGAGCGACGGTCTTGCCAGTGTACCAACCGAAACGGTGTGAAGAGAATGAGTACCGGGCAAAGCGAGGGTCGGGAGGGTGCCAAGCGCCTGGGAGAAGAAAGACGGCGACTGGTTTAGGATGATCTGATTGGCCGTGCCGATGGGTTGCTGCTGCAGGTCCTGTACGCTCCCAGGTTTGAGCTGCCCAGTGAGAAGCAGCGGAGGACCTACAGGATTATTTTGGAAGCCCCACACTGTTGTGCCAATGGTTTGGGCAAAGGGATTGATGTGGATGGGAAGTTTCTGTGTTGAAGTCTGATTTGGTAAAGTGGCCCAAGCAGTCGGCACCCGCTTCTGCTGTAGCTGGAAGTCTTGATTTTTCACAAGTTTCTGAGGGGAGGTCATTTTGTTTGAAGCCCCCAGTGGTGCTTGAATTCCCCACAAAGTGCTACCGAGCCCATGAGCAACAGCAGTAGATACTGGAATGGGGATGCTTTGGTCTATCTGAACTGAGGACGGTGCACCTGCTACACCTGAAGTCCTCTGCTTTTGTGACTCACTTTCTATCCAGAGCTGCTCAGGTTGCTTAACAGTCAACGTTATTGCTTGAGGATCCCAAACTTTTCCATCCTCTTTCATAGGAAGCGTCAAAGTCTCCGGTTTTGGCACCACAGGGGCACCTGGCCATCTGGCCGACTGGAGTTCTTGAGTGACCTTGTTTGAAGAAGTCAACAGAGGAGGTTGGATGCTCCACAACGCCGCACCGTCCACAAAGGACGACACCCTGCGAGAGTCATGGTGCAAAGATCCAGAGGAAGTCGACGTCGTGGCCGTGGGTTCTCCATGTGTCTCCGTTCCATCGATTCCCAAGGGGCCGGCTTTTTGAGAGGAGGGTGTGCTCTCTTGACTGTGCCGGCGTGGCTGTGATGAGCTGTCAATCAGCTCTGGCGGCTGTGACGAGGGGACCGGCATTGCTCCGTCACCATCCAACTCCCAGTGGACAGGTGGCGGGTGTAGTTCAGAAAGAAATGCTTCCTTCTGCATTCTCACTTGCAATTCTTCTTGAGATGCGAGCATGGAAGAATGTGGCATGTCCCCTGAATTGGGATAGAGAGGAGGCCCCCCGACTGATCGAGACATACCCCATGTCAGCCTCCCCCCTCTCCTTCCCCTGCTCCCTCTGCCTCTAGTCCTCCCGCCGGCTGGGGCAGAATTAAGCGGGCTAAAGCTCTGGCGCTTGCGAGTGTGGATCTTCTGGTGCACCAACAAGCTGCTCAACCAGGAGAATGATTTGCCACACTCGCTGCAGAGATGCGGTCGCTCTCCTGTGTGCGTGTTCAGGTGGTCGCGCAGCAGATAGGCCAAGCCGAAGCTCTTGTTGCACAAGTTACATTTGTGAGGCTTCTCGCCATTATGCGAACGCATATGGTGTTGCAGTTGCGTCTCGTCGCTGTAGCCTTTGCGGCAGCTGGTGCAGCGGAAGGGTTTTTCCTGATGCAGCTTCTGGTGGGTTCTCATGTTCTGCAGGAAGGCAAAGTCCTTCCCGCAGTCAGGACATTTGTGAGGCTTCTTGCCCGAATGGATGATGATATGCTGCTGTAAGTAGCTGCTGAAGCGAAAGCCTTTGCCGCACACGCTGCACTGGTAAGGCTTTTCTTTGGAATGTATGCGCATGTGCAGCTCTAACACTGAGCGATGGCGAAACATTTTTCCACACTCGGGGCACTTGTGTGGCCTGAATTTCAGCTGCAGATTTTCACTGGGTACGGAGCTCAAATCTTTTGGGGGGAAGTCATCGCTTTTGCATTGTACCTGCAGATTTTCACTGGGTACGGAGCTCAACTCTTTTCGGGAGGAAATGGACACTTTGTCCCAATCTTGCGTTACATTCTGATGGGTTTTGAATATGTGTAATCGTAAACTTATCTCATCACGGTAAGTACATGGGCAGTGTGGACAGGTGTGCCCTTTATCCCAAACCTTTTTAATCTCTGGGGGCGCCTGGAATCTTCTCTCTTGTGACTCATACTCCACCTCATGAAAATGCATGTGGGCTCTCAGGTTGGCCGGTGAGCTGCATGTCTGGGGACAAAGGGGACAGTTAAAAGTGCGTTTTGGTTCCTCACTCGGGCGTGCATTCTCTTTCCTTTGCACCACTTGCACCATTTCCGGTGCAGACAAGGGAGTCTGCTTGGTGGGCTGGGTACAGGGAATAGCGTTGGCTTGGTGCAGTCTATGTTGGCGACAGTGTGCCCTCATATTTTGAGCAAAGGCAAATTTCTTACCACAATCGGGACAGCGAAAGGGCTTCTCACCAGTGTGCAGATACTGGTGCTGTTGGAGGAGACTGCTGTACTTGAAAGTCTTACCACATACGGTACACAGGTATGTGCGCAGTTGGTCCGTGTGCTTGCGCCGGTGGTCTTCCATGACGGAATTGTATCTGAAAGCCATGCCGCACTCGGGACATTCGTAGGGTTTAAGGATTGGATGACATCGTTGGTGGCAGCGCAATCTCTTGTATTCCCGGAAGGTTCGACCGCACTCCTCGCACGTCCAGCCCTCATGCGAGTGGTTCATCATGTGCATGGCGACAGAACACCTTAAATGGAACTCTTTGCGGCACAGCGAACAGTGATAAGGCTTGTCATCTGGATCATTGCAATTGTGGACCCTCAGCTTTTGCGCCGTAGGGAAAAAATTGTCACACTCCGCACACTGAAAAACATCTTCGTCCTCATATGTTGGCTCCTCTTCCTGCTCCTTATGCACATGTCTGTGTTTGATGAGGCTGCGACGGTCCTTAAAAGAAAGGCCGCATTCTTCACAGGTGAGGGGAGCCAGGTCATCCTTGTGTGCATGACTATGGCGGTGAAGGTAGAACATCTCACGGCGGGGGAAGGATAGTCCACACTCCTTGCACACCATGCGACTCTTTTTTGGCTTAGATGAGGACTCACTGTGCTGCCTTTTCTCACCCTCACCGTGGTCTTCAACCACATACTCTATCGAGCCCACATCTTCCACGGGATCCTCAACCTTCTCATTAATGTCCTCTGCACCAGGAAGAGCTTGCGTTTCTGGCAGCAATTTCTCAGCAGGTTCTGAAACTGGAAATTGAAATGAGAGCCACTGTTTGATGAACACATTAACTAAGTAAATAAATAAAAATCTGATTTATTTGCCAAATATGTAAAAACAAGGAATTTACTATCCCAGTTACAAACATTCCAAAGAAACACAAACAACAACTCTATATGTATCTCTCTATATATAGATAGATAATGTTGATACAAAATCTAAAGTAGTAATACAAAACGATTCGTTTAAGAGCCAAAAGAAAGAATGTGGTAATGCTATGTCACAAAATGTCGTGCAAGCTTGATTGTACCGTCCAGTGTCCAACTGGACATTGGGCGAAAGCAGTAGGAAATAGGAAGGCTAAAGCTGCCAGTAAATTACAGTAACACCACCGTTAGAGTACACTTACTATTTTCTTCCGTGTGGGATTGATCCTCTTCACCGTTGTCTTCGTCTCCGGGGCAGTCAAGGGGCCGCTGTTCATCTCCTGGTGACTCGGCCATTTTTGGCTCCGGTGAATTACATGTTTGGCCGCCTCCAGCCCCCGACTCAATAACCTTATAATGGCCGGGCAGGGAAGCGCTGTTGTTACCACTGTGCTCGCTACTCTGACGCTCCCGAGATTGATCCAGTGTATTTTCTTCTGTCTGGTCAGTGCCGCCTTCCAGTTTCGCCGAGTCAGTCTTGCCCCCAGATGTTTGGACTTCCTCCACCGGGGAGTTGTGCCGTTGCGGAGACTCCGGTGGGGCTATGGCGGCCATGTTCCCCCCCATGCACCCCTGGCATGGACTAGAGCAGCAGTTTCACCAAATTCGGCGAACGAAAGCGGAAATGACGTTGGAGCTACGATGTTTCAAATTAAAACATGAATTGGAGGTTTGTTCCGACCATCCCATCCATCTACCTGTATTTTATGGAGAGATTGTCCTCATTCAGTTTGCGCTTTACGAGGGAGCTGGGCAGATCCCATATGACTTTGGTCAAGGGGGTAGGGGAGGAAGTGGAGGACACAACCTGTTTTAGTCGCTGACCAGTTTCAGGGCTCATTTAGAAAAATAACCATGAGCACTCAACATTCAAACATCTGCATGCATAACTTTTTGATCAAGCGAGAATGCCGGAGTATCTATGCAGGCACAGGAAAAACATGCAAACTCCATTCAACTCGATTTACTTTTCAAAACATTTCCCTTACTAGGGTCGTGGGTGTACTGGAGCCAGCCTGGCTCTAGGGCGGGGTACATAATTAAAACTATTTGTACTATATCGTCAAGTTGGCGGGCAAGTAAATCTACATGTTCGCGACACACTCCACAAACACACAAATTACTCCTCCGTACGGTACCTTACAGTGAGGCCAATTAAAATCTATATAAAGATGTCTGTCGTCACAGCATGTAAAGCATAATTTTCTTCACTTGATGTGCAGCATTTTTCCTAGCTACCAAATTCCAACATTTAAATACACGAATTTTAACAAGTTAAACTGATAAAATGTAATCAACTCTACTTTTAAAAATAATTCCTCGCGATTAGGGGTATCAATGGTGTTTTCAGTAAGTTAAATTGGTGTTTTGGTTATAATGGAGTCCTAAGGAAAAAATGTTTGTAAGGCATCCCCTGACCCAAAAGCTGGGGAACTCATCCTTATGGCAATTTGGTCATCAATTAACCTACTATGGGTGTTGCTAGTGTGTGTGAGAAAGCCAGAGAACCCCTACGGAAGCACAAATAGAAAATGTGAAGTCCAGAGTAGATTCAAAACTCAACCCACAGATTTGTTGTTCACTATTCGCCCATACTGCCCTACATAATATTCCCTAATAATAATCTACATCAAGATTTCCCAAACGACCAACCAGTTTTACATTTATTTGCAATTAAATACATTTAACATCAACAAAACACAGCTATGGCAAAATTGAAAAGGTGATCGTAATATGCACAATCTTAAGAACTCAAAACGCATCCGAGGCAGCAGTTGAGGGCCTGTCTGAAGGCAGAATGAGCCGAAGCTGTGATGTAGATATTGTTGTTGCTGTGGTACAGAGAACCCTCACATTTTGGAAAATTGGGATTCACATCCCTATCTTTCGTTTTTTACTGAAAAATTCACTCAGTTTTTGTGCTCAGGCCAGGATGAATTTACTGTTTTTCCCCCTCATCTGCATTTGAGATGCTCTGTTTTGTGTGTGTGCGGGGGTGGGGGGTCCTTAAAATGCCCCTTGTGCAAAAACGAAGCTGATCATAAAAATTAAGTGTTTTGATAACCCGAATGGTATTACAACTTGCCCATATTTGATGACATTTATTTACTTCAATCTTGTGCTGTAAATGTTGTTCATGATGCTGTTGTCGCAATGTCTGCAAGTGCCGCATTTGTTGCATGTATTGTTGCTGGGTCTCCTGACGATGTTTTGCGAGAACCTGAGCGCCAACGGCACCTGCAACACGAGTTTTCTCATGTCCTGACTGAAACAGTCAGCAACTCTTGTCCACATGTTTTTTAAGTTGAATCATTGCATTTCTGAGCCCCCATAACTCATCTTCAAGCCAGGAGCCACATGGCATGGCTTCCAGATGACCTTTTTGTGGTCTGAGCAATGGTTGCGGACTGCTGTGTTCTGGCCTACTATTGAGGAAAAGGGCACTGTCCAGCGGTGAGGAAAGCAGCCATCATGCTGAAGTTGGGGGTGCTCCGAGGCCAAGACCGAATCCTTGGCCGTGCTTGTCTTCCATGCTTCATGTTCACGGTCAGGGTGCCCAACATCTCTTTTGTGCTCTGGATTGCCATCATCCTTGTCCCAAAAAGTTTTTACTTGGACACCCCTCCTTCAAAACCTGCACACATGAGCACCAAATGTGTTTTGTTAAATAAGTAGCTTGAAGTAGTCGCTGATTGTGTAGTGGTTCGTTCACCTTTCTGATTTTGTGAATGGTTGTCTGTCACTGGTCCCAGGTTTACATGAAAAGGTTTGCATTCACCCACCTCATGATTGATTTCAATTTAATTTTGCACCTTGCGTTTGTAATCAAAGATGAGAATGTATTTCATTCCTTTACTTGCATTGTTGGTTAGTCTGCCACCTGGTGGCATAAAATTGCTAAGTGAAACCTTTTGCCCATCAAATCAAGCTTCCCCTGATGTTCTGATTCCACACAGTTTGCTGCAGTGGATAAATGACGATCGACACAACCGGAGAAAAGTGACACGGTAAAATCTTTCCTGTCCTCGTATCTTCATATCGCTCAGCTCTAATGTCATCCTAAACTGATCTCATCGCAATGAGTACAAGAGCAGTGTGGAGAACCTTGTCCCAAACCTTTTTCAATCTCTGGATGTGGCTTGAAGCTTTTCTCGTGTGACTTGCACTCCACTTCATGAAATTGCATGCGGGCTCTTAGGTTGGATGGCGAGCTGTTTGTCTGCGGACAAAGGCGACAGTTAAAAGCGTGTTTTGGTTAGTCACTCTGGCTCTTTTCTTTGCAACCACTTGCACCGGTGCAGGCACGGGGGTCTGCTTGGTGGGCTGCTCAGCAGAGGAAAGATAGTTGGCTTCGTGCAGCTTGAGCTTGTGACAACTTTCAAGTTTTGAACAAAGGTAAATTTCTTACCACAATCAGGACAACGGAAGGGCTTCTCGTTGGTGCGCAGATTCTGGCGTTCTTGAACCAGACTCTTGTATGTGAAGGTCTTGCCGCAAATGGGACACAGGAAAGAGCGGAGTCGCTCAGTGTGCTTGCGCCGATGGGCTTCCATGACGGAGCTGTGTGTGAAAGCCATGCCGCATTCCGGACATTCGAAGGGTTTGAGGACAGGGTGACATCGCTGGTGGCAGCGCATTGTCCTGTAGTCTGGAAAGCTTTGACCACACTCCTTGCACGTCCAGCTGCCCTCTTCTGAGTGGTGGAGCATGTGCTTCGCAACAGCACACCTTACTATGAACTCTTTGCGGCACAACGTACAATGATAAGGCATGTCATCTGTATCGGTGCATTGGTGACGCCTCAGTTTTGGCGCCGTTGGGAAAAAATTGTCACATTCTGCACACTGAAAACGAGCTTCCTTCTCATACTTTGGCTCCTCTTGATGAACATGTCTGTGTTTCATGAGGCTGCGACGATCCTTAAAGGAAAGTCCGCATTCTAAACAGTTGAGGGGAACAAGTTCATCCTTGTCTGCATGATAGTGACGGTGAAGGTAGAACATCTCACGACGGGGAAATGACGTTCCACATTCGTTGCAGACCATACGAAACTTTTCATGCTTATTTGTTGAATCAATGTCCTGCCCATTGTCAGTCTCACCGTGATCTTCAATCACATAATCTATCGAGTACACATCTTCCAGTCGATCTTCAGATAGTTCTTTCGCAGAGCTTGGTCGATCAGCCTTCTCATATGGTTCCTCTGCGTCAGAAAGAGCTTGCTTTTCTGGGAGCGTTTTCTCAGTCATCTCCAAAACTGAAAATCGAAACAAACTTTGATACACTTAAACAAAATAACAAGTCGATACAAAACAAATAAATGTATAAACAGGGCAAATTTGATGATGAAATGATAAATTACAAAGGACTAGTTTGATAGGAAACTTACTACATGCCATTACAGAATATTTCCTGTCCCCCAAATGAAATTTCAAAGTATCCACGTACTTGTGCAAATTATAGTTGTCGTGAGAATAAATGTAATTGCAGAAGTAAAAGTTATTCCAAAAAAGTATTTAAAACCAACGCATCCCCTAAAAAATTTATTTTCCTTGTCCCTACTAATTTGCCTACTGTATCAAATCTTACTGATTAAATGAGCGCGCTGTGTATGATTTTGTTGGTGTATCCTCCTTGTGTTAATAACATTTTGTTTAATGCACATTTTAAATAGTAAGCAATTGTGCTCGAAAATTGTGTCTCTCAACATCCACATTCTGTTTCTTAAACGCTTTCAGGCAGCTATGGAAAAAGGGAGAGCTGAATCAATACTGTATAATCAAGCTAATTGGTCTGAACATGGGAAGACCCAAGATCCTCACTTCTAATTTTCATGTTTTTAGTGCAGTCATAATGGGGTGTGCCATTCAAATCAGTGTAACCCTGCGACTCAGTTGATAAGCAGAAAAAGATTACACATTACTCCGTTTTAACTAAGTTTGTTTTTGACTTGTTAGCATAGCTTAGCATTTACTCGAGCAAAATACTCCTAACGTTAGTATTGCTGTTAAAATGCTAAAATTAAATTAGTATTGAAAAAAAAAACGAATGTACTGTACTTCCTTTAATTGAAAGTAGAAATAGTTAACCACATGTTTATGAGGTGCCTGCAGATATGTAACAAGGTTGCGCCTAACACAGCAAAATATAAACAATAAACTGTAGGCTTTATCGTTGAGATGGACGAAATCTAATTATCTGTACATCTTTTTAACAAGACAAAAAATAAATACCGCCTCTTACACTAAACATGGGCTATATTTTACTTTTCGGGAAGGCTCAAGCTAACAGTAAAATACAACTCGACAGCACGTACCGTTCCCTTCCGAGTCGTCCTCGGATTCGGATTCGGAGAAGTCAAAGGTCCTCCGCGGTCCGTCTCCTCGGGACTCGGCCATTTTTGGCTCCGATGAATTACATATGCCGTCGTTGCCACTGTAGCGCCCTCCGGGTGAATTAATAGTATTTGCCAGTGCCACCAAGTCAGTCTTGCATTGTGGAAAGTGCTTTACTTACTCACCAGAAAGTTCACGTCGTTTCAGAGACTTGCGGTGCGGTTATGGTGGCCATATTTTCCCCCTATTGGACTTACGGCCGAGTGGACGACAGCACCAAGGTCAGCCCAAAACGGAAATGGCGTTATACCGCGCGTCGATTTTCAAATTAAAACCCGGCAGCTGTCTGAGGGAACGCATACTTTAGTACCTCCAACGTGGCCGAAAATAAGTATGGAAGTCAAGAAGAGTTGAAATTAAGTATGTTACAAATCACATTTTAAATGTCATTTGGATAAATAACAGAGAAAATATAATATGGCCATTAACTTGTAAATGAAGGTATATTAAGAAAAATGTTCTCACTTAATTGAATTGAATACAACTTTATTGTCAAATGTGCTGTATGTGTGACATACAGCACAGATGAAATTTCTTCCCTCTCAACATAAAACAAGAGGATAATTAATATCAAATTATTATTATCCATCCAACCATCCATTTTCGGATCCGCTTATCTTCACAAGGTTCGCGGGGCGTGCTGGAGACTATCCGGTCTATTTTCGGGTAGTAGGCGGGGTACCCTCTGAACTGGTTGCCAGACCATTGTAGAGCACACGTAGACAAAAAAAAAAGCCCCTTCCACACTCACACTCACACCTAGGGACAATTTGGAGTGCCCAGTCAACCTGCCATGCATGTTTTTGGAATGTGGGAAGAAACTGGAGTACCCAGAGAAAACCCACGCAGGCATGGGGAGAACATGCAAACTCCACAGGTGAGCGACCAGTCTTACTTTTATTTGTGTGTTAATACATTATATATACCTACAAAATATACCTTCTGCAAAACTATAAATATGATAGCAATATGCAATTATAGACAACAATCTACACACAAATTGCACTGCATGCAGGTGTATAATTGCCCTACATATTTATGTACAGTATGCTGTATTTCCACCCAAAAAATTTGACTCAAGCCGACTGTGATGTGAAAGCCTCAAGCCTTTCTTGATGGTGCATACGAGCAAAAACGGATGCTTTTTTATGTCTCAGAGTGCATTGAACGCAACACATTTTTAATGTGTTGCCAAAGCTGAAAAAGTATTCACCATAAAACTGTTAAAACACAGGCATACATTAGCATGTAGTTACAATAGCAGTTGAAATACAAGACACAATACGCACAAAAAGTTAGGCATATTGGGCTGGTTGGTGAAATTTCAGAATGGCGCTCTCAACTTTACAGGTGAACATTATACTGATAATATTTCAAATGCATTTTACTGGCAAAATCCCCAACGAGTGTTTGATCCATGAATGGACAGATAATCGACTTCTAGGTCTTTCTGTGACTCCTCCAGTGTCTCCATTGCAAACTGCTTATGAACTCAAAAGCTCATGGTCATTTCCCCGTATTCTGTTTAAACGCTCACCATGGCAAGGTACTGTTCATCAATTTTTAGGGGGCATCGTGATCTCAAGTCAAAAATTGAACAATCGATATGAAACATTAAATAGTTTAACATGTTCACTGAAAACTTCGGAAAAGGTCTTATGTTCACCTGTAAAAGTTAAGAGTGCGCTCTAGGTTCATTATGAAATTTCACCTGAAATCTGAATATTCTTATATTTCTGGGAGTAGTATGGTTGGTTATATTAGGGCTGAACAACAAATCTAATTCAAGTTGACATTGCCAATGTTATCAAATGCAATTTTCAAATCGCAAATGCTGCAATGTGGAAGAAAAGTGCATCATTTTGGTCAGTTGGTAGGCTTTATTTTTTTTTTTTTATTTAAAAGATACTTTCTCATTGAGTCCATGTTTATCCTGTCAAGAGGAAATCCAGACATGGATGGCACTGAATTTCTTGAATTTCAATCAAAAGAAAACAGAAATGATGGTGTTTGGTTCCAGTGGCCCTTGTACATTCCATCTTGCGGTCTTGGGCCCCTGGCTCCTTATCTTAAGCAAACAGTCTCGAACTTGGGTCTTAAAATGGACAGTGATTTTAAGTTGAACCGGCAAATTGATGCTGTTGTAAAATCCAGCTTCTTTCACCTTACGCAGCTGGCTAAAGTAAAGCCTCTCCTTTCTCAAGAACACTCTGAAACAGTAATTCATGCCTTCGTCACATCTCGTCTGGATTACAGTAATGCACTTTACTTTGGAGTCAGCCAATCCTCCATTAAGAGTCTCCAGTTGGTCCAAAATACTGCTGCTTGCCTCATGATTGGTAATCATAAGAGGGAGCACATAACGCCTACTCTGGCATCCCTTCACTAGCCCACTATACACAATATACTGTACATACCAAGAACTAAGCGGAGGCGCAGAGGGGATTGAGACTTTTTCCGTTGTGGGTCCCTCTCTTTGGAATGACCTCCCGCTAAACGTTAGGCAAGCCCCCTCGCTGCTCATCTTTATTCTTTGGATTTTGACTGCATGAGACTCGATTTCTAGTTTTACTGTTTTTGTGCATTCTACTGTCTTTGTTATTATTGTTTTATTGCTTATTGGATGAATTATTTTTGCTCCATGTACAGCACTTTCTAGACAGCGGTGGTCGTTTTAAAGTGCCTTATAAATACAGTTGAGTTCACCTCTAAGACCAAGTGCAATAAATCTGATATTACAGATTAATTTATTGCTTGTTTGTTGAAAAAAAATACACGTCAAGAGGATCTTGAAATATTGAGGGGGGGGGGGGGGTCAGTAACCTTATTTTTCAAAATTGTTAAGCCCTAACCGTTACCATACTACTCTCCAAAAGTTAGACATTTCATTCCATGACAATGTTGTTAATACAGTACAAGTTCTCTTGAAAAGCATGAACGTAAACACCAGCACCTCGAGTAAATTCTGGACAGGGAGCAAGTATGTCTTAAGTGGTCGAGTTGTTTCTCAACTCGATTACGGTAGTCAGGAGGTTTAATAGCATAAGAATATGTACAGTTGAATTTAAGGCCACCCTATAAGCTGACGTCTAATAGTTCTTTCTAAGGACAACTTTCAAGTGCAATTGGTATCTCTGAAGCAAAACTCCAAATACTATAGCAATAGAAAAAAAAAAAGATTCACTGTCACATCCTTACTGATCAAGTATGCAAAGTGTGTGCTTTGAACTGTCACCCGGTCCCTTCTGTCCTCAGCGTCGTCTCCTGCGCCTGTGATCGAAAGCTCTTCCTCGCCGCGGTTTCTGCGCGCACCCATTCACGCCTGCGGGTGGATGCGAGGGAAACGTGGCTTGTAGGTCGGGTGACGACGGGGAAGGAACCATGGCTCCAGGAGAAGGGCTGGCAGAATGCCGAGTGAGCTGAACCTGATGTAGTTTGTGTTGTTGTACTGTGTGCTGTGGTCCTTCAATCTGTTGCTGTAAATGTTGTTCGACGTGTTGTTGCTGCGATACCTGCGAGTACTGCGTTTGTTGCATGCGTTGTTGTTGTTGTTGTTGCTGCTGCTGCGCCTCCAGCACGCCCAAAAGCCTCTGCAGGAGGACGTTGTTTTGCTGGAGACTGAGCGCCAACGCCTCTTGCGATGCGACGAGTGTTCTCATGTCCTGTCGGAAAGAGTCAGCGAATTCCCGCAAACTTTTGTCTACGCGATTTCCGAGCTGTATCGCTGCCTCTCCCAGTCCCCGTAGTTCATCTTCAAGCCAGGATCCGCGCGGCGGGGCTTCCAGAGGTCCCTGTTGTGCTCCGAGCGACGGCTGCGGACTGCTGGGCTCCGGGCTGCCGTTGAGGAAAGGGGCGCTGTACAGCGGGGAGGGAGGCAGCCATCGTTCTGAGGTCGGAGGGGCGCCGATGCCCAGACCTAATCCGAGGCCGAGTTTGTCTTCCATGCTGTTGTCTTCATCTTCACAGTCAGGAACCCCAACATCTCTCTCGTGCTCTGGATTGTCATCATCCTTGTCCAAGGCATCCTTCTCTGAGCCCTCTCCTCCAAAACCTGAAAACATGAACATAAAATGTGTTTTGTGAGCAGGTAGCTTGAAGCAAGGCCCACTGCATGGTTCCCACACATAGGGTGTGCTAACTTTTGCAATCAAGAGCCACACTTCTTTTAATGGACTGAAGAGCCTGGTCATTGAGGAATTAAAAAAAAAAAAAAAGTGAAATAATGTATTTTATCGCTAACAAGTCATTCTCAAGTACTAATTTTATAACTTACAGTATTTCATTCAAATTAGCACAAAAACTATTCAAATTGTTAAAATGATACATTTAATCAAATATACCAATTATCTAAATGAATGAAGATAAAAAAATGAATGCACCAATTTTAAGAGGAAACAAAAAATTTCAAGTGGCAAATGTATTCTCGGCATTTCAGGGTCATTTTGGGCTGCTGAGACTGAAAATTGCATCCATTTCTTTGAATTAGCTCCAGTTTTCTTTACAATTAAGTGATTGATAATTACCGTAATGTGTTTTGACAGTTCACAAAATGTATGTTGATCGTGATTAAAACAGTGTCTGTGCTTTAACCTCACCTGTTTTTGCATTTGTTTATTGCTGATCTTTGCCAATTTGGGAAATGTCCATTTAATTTTCACAAGAAGTATGATTTGCATATTGACGACTCTCTGCGATAACGATGGCCAGTGTCAAAAATGCAGGAATACAGTATGAGCATGCTTGAAAAGATACGGCCTCAGCCTAAAACCAAAATTATGGAATATCTCAAAAACTAAAGCCATTTCGGAAAAACAATGTTATCTTGTGATTCAGCGACTAAAAAGACCCTTGAAACCAATGAAATGGGTACTGTTTCTCATACAGGAGCCTTCTGTTGAAAAGTGCTGTTCCTAGGGTGGCAACGTAACCCAAATTTGTATGTAAGACGGAACAAAACATGGGAGGACAAGCAGTTAGTGCACGTGTACACTGCTTCAGTCATGCAGTATTTTTTGTACTCCTTTCAAAATGCCCGATCGTACCAAGACAGACATCCAGTTTACCTGTGTCCGACTCAGGAAAGCATGTGAAAGTGGGCTTTGGTCTGGAGTTTTGCTTCTGCTTGCCATGCTGAAGCCTGGGGCTGGACTGGGAAGACTGTCCGAGCATGGTCGCTCTGCTGGAGGGCAGAGACCAGCTTCGGTGGCGGGCGTCCGCCAGTCGACCGCCATTGCGCCTCTTTAGGTCATCCCAACGCTTTTTGACCTCCCGAAGCGTACGCGGGACTCTGGACACGGCGTTGACGCGCTCCAGGATTCCCGCCCATATGCGTTCCCTCTCGCGTCGGCGGAGCCTCCCCGCCGGGCCGAACAGTTCTCCTTCATACCGCGTCACCTCCGACACCAACACCTCCAGCTCTGCGCCACTGAAGCGACTTTTTCTTTTGCCTGCGCCGTTGGCAGCCAGTGCAGCGGACATAGCTCTGTCTGTAGGGGGACACAGCCGACAACACAAACACAGGTGGAAAATAGTCAAGTAGGAATGGTCGATGAATCAATTACAGGGCTGCGACGATTGAATATTTTTTAGAATTGGTTATTCGAACAATTACTTCCATTGATTCATCTGAGAAAATTTTCACTTTGCATGAAAGTTTGTATTGCAAAAAAAAAAAAAAAAAAAAAAGTAATTCATTTTCAAAAACGTTGGTGACCTCGCGTTAAACATTTTCGTAATGGTAATGTTGCATGAAAAAAACAGCTCTAACTACTCCCACAACACCAATATTATCCCGAAAGGAAATATGGAAAATGTACTTTTTATATTCAAATAGTTATCTGCAAGGTGCGCCTGGCCACCCATCAACTGTGACTCAAGTAACCAATGAAACGTGTTCGGACTATTTCTGAACATGTGTCTATGAATGAGCCAGTGGTGGCCCACTGTTATGTAGCTAGGTGGGGTAAACTATGTCGTAACAACCCTCACACCGAACACTACATCAAAACTGAAAGGTAAGGAGAGCTGTCATGAGTTCTGTTGGTTGCACAGAAAAGTGTCAGCTTCTGTTCAGCAGCACGTACTTGACTGTTCTACAAAAGGTGTCGTTGTGCTGTATTTGTGTTTGTTAATGTACCTTATCCATGTGCTACATATACATCGTGTAGAGTATGAATTGATGGCCCCACCTGTAAAAATGCTTTTACTGTCCTTGTAAGCACTCTTTTTCCTCTCAAAAAGTGTACTAAATATGAACATGGGCTTACTTTGTTCAATGGACAAGAGGTCATCTGAAGACATGCCGGGCGCCATGAGTTTGGGGTGCACCACTACCACGTTGAAGGGCAGGCCCCCGTGCGGTCCACTGCTCTGGTCACAGCTGCCCTCCGAGTCGTCGTCATCTCTGGGGAAGCCGTTGTCGGAAGCCCCCCCTGCGGAGTGTCCCTCAGGAGACTCCACTTTGATGTGCATGGGAGGAGATTGCTCATACAGCAGCCCCCCGTCCTCGCAGTACTCCGTCATGGGTCAGGGGCCGGTTTTAGCGTAGAACTGACTGGACGGTCAATTCTGGTGCTGACGAGTGTGACCCCATTAACACCGGAACTGGGTATCACCGGAGCTACTGTCTAAGACATTATAAACTTACTGCACTGTTGTGGTGGTAGGCCAGGGCCAGCTAGGCCTCTGCTAGGCTAAACACGGTCCGAATTTCTGACCAACATTTACAACCTAAATTCTAATATTTGTTACATGCAATTATATTTATCCATGCCCAGCAGTCTATTCTCATTTCTCTTGGTTGCATTGCTCCCTGTTGTGTATGTAGATGTTAGATTTGTTTTTTGATCCAATCAGATTTCAAACTCATATGTAGTACCTGTCAATCTAATCAGGGTCTTCACAATATGTAGTGCTGGCCCACGTCACCATGTAACCAATCAGAATACTAATTCATCCTCACAGGGCATTTTTCCATCCTCCAATTGGGTGGTGACAGCAAGTCATGTTCAACCACATCTGTAGTGATGTGATTTAATAATTTGCAACGATACTGGGTATGATGTATTTAATTTAAAAGCTGAGTTACTGTTATTAGATATTAGATAATTACTCATTCTGAACCTCTCGTGATAATGCACATGGTACAGTGACATGCAGCTGGATTGCGTTTTTGTGTACTATTGATGCTTTATATAATAGCGACACGATAGTGGTGGTGGAGCTATTAAGAGGCAAATGCACAGCCCACTAGTGGTGTGCCACCAAAAGAGCTGATGTAAATTCCAGCTCCTGTTACACTGTATCAGTAATCTTGGAAACAGAGCAGAATTTAAAGAGCTATTAATTCCCTTTTAATTATTGCATATTAAACTATTCAAGCCATTGACACAAGTTTTAAGGACAGCTGCAGCTGTGTAAATACACTGCATTATTTCAGAGTTACATGAGCTGAGATTTGGTTGCATATACACTCTACATAAACCCATTATAAAGCACACATTTTTGATCCATGTGTGTGGGTCAAAAATCGGTGTGCCTGTTTAAATAACAATTGCATTTTTACTCCAACCACCCAATAAAAACATGTCCAGGTCCCAAACCCTAATTTGTAAAACCACTGTGTTAAAAAAAAAAAAAAAAGTTTTTAAATAGGCTCCTGTTGTGTTCACCTGACCGCCCAGCTGTTTTGACAGAGCTGCATCATCCCAGCCTGAGGATCCCCTCCGACGCTAAGACAACAAACAGACGTGACACGCTAAATAAACGCGCCACGAACAAACAAAACAGACGGTTATAATGGGCCATTTTTTTGCAATACGGCGCATCGATGCGCAATCTGGACCACACGACGACCGCAACAATTGCGCACTGGGCAGACGTTGACACGGTGACAGAGCCAGGAAGAAGCTAGCCACTAGCTAACACGCTAGCACACGTTCTGCTAAAGGCGCGGGTTGGAAGAGGTACAAAAAGCCTTGAAGCTACTAATCTTATTATAAAATATCAAAAGTGGTGTTATTCCTACCTCATGACAATGAGGCACGGAGGAGAGAGGGGGAAGGCAAAACACAATCGACGCAGCTGTTATCTCGGCAGCAGGTACACAAACCGTAGACCGTCGCTCTCCATGACGTCATTAGGGAGCGCGGCTGCCAATCGCAGTTCTGACATATTTCTGCCATTTCAACATTTGTTTTTATGTTTCTTTGCAAAGACTTCTTGAAATTGTGAAAACAGTGTCTTCTGTTGTTTTTGTTTGCTTTATTTGTAAAGCGTGGGTATTTTTTATTTTTCATAAATTGGGCAAAATAGTTTATTGATAAATGTATGTCAATCCGAAACCTACCTTGACACACTGTCACAATGATGCTGAATCACACATAAATGTCTAGTTACAAAAGGCTCTGTGAACAATTTAAACAAATAATTGTAAACTTTTATTTTATTTGAATACTCGAAACCACTGGGATTTTAAAATAAGATAAGAAAACCTTAATTTGTCTCACAATGGAGGAATTCCCAATTTACAGCAGCAAAATTATGAAAGGGAGAAGTAGAAGAACAAAAAGTATATCAATAAATATAAATATAAGCATCTTAAATTTTTTTGTTTGTTTATTGTTTCCTCCACTGTACACTAGCATTGTAGTATTTATACGTTGCCTATTTACAATATACAAATGTACTTCATATGTATATATATAGCTAGATAGATAGATAAATAGATAAACACACACAGATAGATAGATAGATAGATAGATAGATAGATAGATAGATAGATAGATAGATAGATAGATAGATAGATAGATAAAGACCTGTTTCATCTGTGCCATGCACGTGCAGCCTCATCAGATTGACGCTGCCTTCATGACCCTTCACTTAAAGAAGATGTAGAGGACCATATGCAAGAAACAAAACAGCATTTGTGATTCTTTCTGCAGGGATGACCTGGTGCTTTTCTGTGTCCAGTGAGGAGAACACTTGGGGCCCTGATCCGGTACCTTTAGCAAATGAGAATAAGCGTCAGAAAACTTAGCTGCAGAGGCAGATTCCCCAAATGGAGCCAACGATAAAGGAGTGAAAGAGGAAGGTCCAGAAGCTGAAGGAATATGTAGAGAACAAGTATAACGACTCTGTCTTTAATCTTGTAGTAAATGCCACAAAAATACACCTGAGTGAGATGAATCAGATCATTGAAGGTAAACAGTTGAGCAACAGGCTGAAATGTGCCTCAAAGAGCCGGACAAGGAACTCGATCTAATCAGGACAAACTGGAGAGCCCCTCACACATCGATGTCACCTTGAGGAGCTCATCAAGAGTGTCCTACTGCTCATCCACTCAGCACACCAAGGACTGGTCAGATGTCAACATCATCGCTCAGCAAGGTGTGGAAGAGACGGAGCATGCTTCTGATGAATTCATAGTGCAGTGAAAGAATATTTGATTCGAGGTTTTTTGCACATTTATAACCGAGGATCCCGCATCACCAAGCCAATTTTAATATGTCACAAAGACAACCCAAGCAAATAGAAAAAGCAGTTTGTACTTTTTTTTTAAATTAAAAAGGGGGCGAGGCAGTATCCAAAACGATCCGTCCATATGTGATATTCAGTACTTCTATTTACATCTGTGTCCATTTAGAAAGGAGCAACGGAAATTATCTTAAACCATGCTGGTGCACTTCCCAGGTGGGATAATGTTTAATCATTTTGTACAGTACATGGGAAAGTCCTTGAGTGGGTCTTAGATAAAGAGTTGACAGAGTAGACAATTCAGAGGTATATAAACCCACGAATCCTGTTCCTCCACTGTGTCGGTCCACTGACTTCAGAAGACAGTCATGAAGTACTTCATTGTCCTTGCCTTGTGTGCTGCAGCTTGTGAGTATTTGTCCCTCTCCTGTGGGCAACTTTTTTTTTGTAGGTAAAAATGTGATGCTTGCATTGCAGTTGCTGCTCCCATTGATGATGAGGACGACAAGATTGTTGGTGGATACGAGTGCAGAAAGAACTCTGTACCCTACCAGGTGTCTCTGAACTCTGGCTACCACTTCTGCGGAGGTTCCCTGATCTCCAGCACCTGGGTGGTGTCTGCTGCTCACTGCTACAAGTCGTAAGTCGTAACACAGCTGACATGAAACTTCTGCGGGACTTTGAACTTGGCATCACCGTCATGTGCGTTTCTGTGCAGCCGCATCCAGGTGCGTCTCGGTGAGCACAACATCGCCGTCAACGAGGGCACGGAGCAGTTCATCACCTCCAGTCGGGTCATCAGACATCCCAGATACAGCAGCCGCAACCTGGACAACGACATCATGCTCATCAAGCTGAGCAAGCCCGCCACCCTGAACAGCTACGTGCGCACCGTGTCCCTGCCCTCCAGCTGTGCCGGCTCAGGCACCCGCTGTCTGATCTCTGGATGGGGCAACATGAGCGGCTCTGGAAGTCAGTTAAAAAAAGAAAAACCCTCAAAGGGGATCCACCTGTTCATGTATCAGCACTCACGTGTGTCCTTTCCTCCTCTTCAGACAACTACCCTGACCGTCTGAGGTGCCTGGACGCCCCCATCTTGAGCGACAGCAGCTGCAGGAACTCCTACCCTGGACAGATCACCTCCAACATGTTCTGCGCCGGATTCCTGGAGGGAGGCAAAGACTCTTGCCAGGTACGAGCAACAAGCTCACCGATTCTTTCAGTGAACTTCTCCAGCCTTTGGTGCTTACATATGGTATTTGGTACCTGTGCAGGGAGACTCCGGTGGCCCCGTGGTGTGTAACGGCCAGCTTCAGGGTGTCGTGTCCTGGGGTTACGGTTGCGCCCAGAGGAACAAGCCTGGTGTTTACGCCAAGGTCTGCAACTACAACTCCTGGATTCGCAGCACCATGTCATCCAACTAAAGGGTTGAATTTCGGTGTGGGCGTACCATCAGCCCTTGTGTTAAATATAAATTACAACAGTACCGCATATGTAAAGCTGCATGAGTTGTTTGCAATAAAGACTTCCGAGACTTACTTGAATTTTCTGTCTTTTTCAAAGTGGTGATGTTGCGACCATTATTTAGCATGTTCAGATCAGCCAATGCAAGTTGACCAGGTCTGCACTTATATAAAGGAGTTGCATAGAGTTTTAAAGCAACATTTTCTGGAAAACATGACAAGGGAACATTTTCAGGCACACCCGTATCCCGACGATGTACCCATCTAGTCATCTATTGCTGAGTCCATTATTAACACAGTACTGTAATGTGTTAAGGTGGTGGTTCTTAACCTGGGTTCGATCGAACCCTCAGGGTTTGGTGAATCGGTCTCAGGGGTTTGACGGAGCCTCTACCATGGAGGTTAAGACACAACCGACTCAACATGTCACTTAGTTTTGACAGGCCCGCTTGGCCATCACTGGCTGGTTCTTTTTGTGCACAATTTAAAAAACGTATACTTATGGCTTGTAATTTTATGGGTTTTTTTTTTCTTTTTAATAAATGCGTTTTTTTAGTCTTGAATTTGTAAAAAAAAAAAAAAATCATGTTTGTATTTTTCACTAATGAAAGGTTCGGTGAACGTGCAGATGAACTGGTTGGGTTCGGTACCTCTAACAAGGTTAAGAACCACTGTATTAAGGGTAAGATTGTGAGACCATGAATCAGGTTTCATGAAACGAATAAAAATCATGAAATGAAGAGAAAACACTTATAGTCATTCTAAAAAAAACAAAACAAATGAACAAAAAAAACCCCAAAAACCTGTGAGAACGGCATGTTGCGTTGAAGAGTAGTAGGCCTAAGTCAATCAGAAAGAAAACAAAAGTCAACTTCAAAGCAAAGCTGTTTGATGAAATGAGCAAATTGCAGGCTTACGGTTATGAAAAGAGAAATGTAAAATAATTGAAACAGAAAAACTCTCTAGTCAATGAATATGCCTCCAAAGCTACCACCTTGTTTTAAACAGCAGTAAAATAGTTGAGTGGGAA